GCTCCGGCGCGGCCGGGGTGCCGAACGTCACTTTTGAATCCTATATAGAAAATAGAAAGCTATCGGTCCCCACGGCGCAACCAGCAAGAACAGCTTCGCGTCCAGCTCGCTTGGAAGCCGCACTCGCTTCGCCGCAGCGAGCACGAACCAAAGGAGTGCGCCGGCAGCCAGAAAGCTATCGGTCCCCACGGCGCAACCAGCAAGAACAGCTTCGCGTCCAGCTCGCTTGGAAGCCGCACTCGCTTCGCCGCAGCGAGCACGAACCAAAGGAGTGCGCCGGCAGCCTGCTCCGCCGCGGTGCCTAACGTCGCGTTTGAGACCAATATGCAGTAAGGCTATCGTCCGATCCAGCGGCCTCTTTTTCGCTGTGGCAAACGAGGCGCGGCCTGGAAAAGCCGCTCAAAGCACCTGCAGGGCACAGTTTTTTTCAGCGCTGAAGCTCTGCACGGCCCGCTCAGTCCGCCCTTTTTGCTTCCTTTTCTGGTTCCGGCGGCACTCCTTTGTTGGTTCTCGCTGTTGGGCAAAGGATGCGGGCCCGCCCGTTCGCCTCTAGTCCTTCCTTTCTGCCTGCGCGCACTCCTTTGGTTTCTTTCCTTTTCCTCTCTGCTGCCGCCAAGCGCGGGAACGAAAGGCTTGTGTGGCTGGCCGCTCCCTCCAAGGACCGCTTCAGCGCTGAAAGCTGTGCCCAGCAGGTAGTTGAGCACTCTCGGCCTCCTCAGCTCAGGGGCAGTTGGTGTAGTGGTATCACACCCGCTCGCATGCGAAGCGCGGGAAGCGAAGCTCTTGTGGCTGGCCGCTCCCTCTGGACCGCTTCAGCGCTGAAAGCTATGCGCAGCAGGTATTTGAGCACTCTCGGCCTGCTCAGCTCAGGGGCAGTTGGTGTAGTGGTATCACACCCGCTCAGCATGCGAGAGGGGCTGGGTTCAATCCCCGGCCTGTCCATGCCCATGTGCGCCTGCGTCTGTCACAGTTTGCCTATCCCTGGTCTTTCTCCCTTTGGGTTTGCTGTGCGTCTTGCCAAGGGCGGCTGCTCCGCCGCGGCCGGGTGCCGAACGTCACTTTTGAATCCTATATAGAAAGTAGAAAGCTATCGGTCCCCAGGGCGCAACCAGCAAGAACAGCTTCGCGTCCAGCGCGCTTGGAGGCCGCACTCGCTTCGCCGCAGCGAGCACGAACCAAAGGAGTGCGCCGGCAGCCTGCTCCGCCGCGGCCGGGCGCCTAACGTCGCGTTTGAGTCCAATATGCAGCAAGGCTATCGGTCCAGAGGGAGCGGCCAGCCACAAAAGCTTCGCTTCCCGCGCTTTTCCAGGCCGCACTCGTTTGTCCACAGCGAGCACCAACCAAAGGAGTGCGCCGGCAGCAGAAAGGAAAAGGAAAGAAAAGAAACGAAGAAGAACAAGAAAAAAGGGAAAGAAAGAAGGCTGGTAAGGTACAGGGCTGAACGGGCGAGGGCGAAAGGGAAGGGAGAAGGCTGCCACAGCCACGCTCCAACGCTAAACGAACACTCCCCCAGCGCCTTCCCCTTGCAGGCAGGGGGGTCGGCGGATATACCCCGGGGTGCCTGTACCACCCCCCTTTTCATATACACCTTAAGGCCCCAAATTTCCATGACAGCCCTTAGGGTACACACAATGCCCAATTTGGGTGCTCAGCAGAAGTTTGCAGGTGGGTTCCTTTCAGGGAACCCCTTAGTTCATTCCCGCCCTACTGAGCGGCAAGTTGTTCATACCCCTTGGCCTCCCTGGTTTCCAACCCACTTAAGCGGTATATAACTTCGGGAGATGAACATCTGGCCTTTTGGGGTCATTTGCCCAACAGGTATGTAAAATGTACAAGCACCCCTGGAAAGGGTTTTGGAGGCTACCCTGTAACCACACAGTACCAACTTTTTGTAGGGTATAATGTCGCCCAGTACTAAGAAAGGAGGCATTTAGCTTGCAAAGCCAGGTTTTCAAAACAAACAAAAACACAGGTATTTGGAGTAAGGGGGCACGGCTTTGGGGGGGTCCCGTATGTTTTGAGGTTCTTAGAAAAGGATACTGCCCCAGGCTGAATTTCCTTTTTTAAGGCCACTTTGAGGGTGGAGGTATGTTGGGGCGGTTTAAGAGGAATCCAATGGGAAAACACGATGTTTGGCGGGGCCCTATTTTAAGACATCCACCCAGTTTGCGGTTCGACCTTCAGTAGGCTGCAGTTTTCCACTTGTCCACTTTCTCTGGAGGCCTCCAAATTATACTCACTTCCCATCGAGTTCTTGGACTTTAGAAACACCTTTGGGTCGGAAGACCAGTTTAGTAGCAACAAGTGTGTTTGCTTTGTTTAGCCCATCCACTCAGTGAGTTTATGTCATCTGCCCTTGGAAGACTAGACAAATGGGAGGGACTCCAAACCTACTCACCGAATAGTTGGAACATCCAAGTAGACCCTAGACCCCAAAAGGACCCTACACACCGTGGCAAAAAGGCACCCAAGATCTCAAATGAGATTGAGTTTTCTTACCCCCTGAAAAAGAAAAGTAGTTGGAAGGGGGGGAGGGTGAAAGTGAACCCTGTTAGTTCCCCCCTACCTTCAGGAGAGGGGGGGAAATAGCTTCAAAATCCTGCTGGTTCTCACGGACAACTGCGATGGGTTACAAGCCAAAGTTGGAAACTTAGGGATTAAAGGCCCAAGTTCGGAAGAGGAGTGCTTTTCAACCCTCCAAATGCCCGATTGGAGTTTCTTCTTCTTTTTTGTGGGCCCGTGATTTAGCCATTCTCATATATTCACCCCCCCCCCCCCCATATGTCAGATCCAAGAGCCATGATGGCACGATGATTTTCATGTCGGTCACTCGTATCCAGAAGGAAATCGTCATCTACTTTAACCCTGCAAATACAGAACTCATTTGAGTATTGTAAGTTTGAGTCATCGGCTCTGTTTCCCCTGCGGTTCTGATGGTTTGCTGAAAAGAAGGATTCCTGGAAAGAATGGGGACGTGTCCCCTAGGATGATGTTGTTAGTCCTTTTCCTGGAATTCTCAAAGTCAAAAGCTGGCGGTGTGTTACTCCTTAAGGTCTCGAAACTCCTCGCCCAACAAATTGGAGCTACCCCCCAAACGGTTGGATCGAGTCGGATCGAGTCCCCCGTTTTAGTTTCCCCTTTGAAAGCTCACAGCAGGTCCTCAGTTGTTCAAAGCCGACCTTTTGACCTTTTGTTTTTCCGTTTTTGGTCCATTTTTAGTAGAGGACCCAAAAGGTTAACCTTTTATTTCCAGGTCCCTAAGGGGCAAGTGAGGGTCGTCGTCCTGGAAGGAAAGAAAGCGCAGGTCATGGGGTGGACTACTACCGCCGCCTCAGTGCCATCCAGGAAGGCGGGACCTGGGACGAGCGCGTCCACGGATTGACATCCCAGCTGCCCAGTGGAGCCCTTTTTTTGGGGGGAAGGGTTTTTCCTTGTTTTGGTAACCCTAACCATCATTGGGCCCGATCCGGTCGAACCGGGTCTCCATTGGTTTTGGTTGTGGACCTGAAAAAAGGTCCCGTTTGAGGGCCCAAGATGCTTTGGGAAGGGGTTCCCTTTACGGTTCCCTCTATCTCTACAATAACCCGAGCTTCCATTTGCTTAAGGTTGTTTTTTTTTAATGTTGCCCCGTTGGTTTTCGAGTTGAAATCAATTTCACTGCTGGACATATGCTTCATTTTTTCCAGGGGGCGAACACGCAAATGGAGGCTAGGCATCGGATGCTGTACGATCCAAAATGGGAGGGTGCAAAAACTCCTCTTAGCGGCTCCCGGCCGTTCGGTTCCTTAGCTTTCTAGCCTTTTCGGTTGGTTTCCGTGGTTGTTTCCATTCAACCCACTCAAAGTGGTCGACTGTCAGCAGAAAAGTCTGAGGGCAGCCCAGCAAAAATGACGGGCGCACACGAACTGCCTGGGTGTTGAGCCTGTTGCAAGTTGGAGACTTTGAGCGGGGGATCGATCGAAAACGGACTTTGCCCAGTCGGGTGTTTGTTGCCCGAATGTTTTCGGCCGCCCAGGGCAGTGAGTGAGTAGATCACCAACGATGTTCGTTTTTTGGCGTTCAAAGGGTGGTTCCTTTGGTTTATGTTTGTTTCCTTTGGGAAACTCCCAAGGAAGGAAAACCTGCACCCTCAAACTAACTACCCGTAAAAAAAGGGGGGGGGAAACACATAGTTCACCTAACCCAAATTTCAAGAACCAATGTTCAAGTTGGAACTTTGACGGTTCAGTTCTTGAACCTACCCCAGCTGGGTTGGTCTGGAGGGAGACTCCTTACTTGCACCCACAAAATACCCATCAAAAATAGGAAAATTAGTGCACCCCATAGTTCACCCGACAAAAGGAATACGTCATTCTAGGGGTTGGTTCCCCATTCTTTTCAACCATCGTTCTTTTCAAAAACCGGTGGTTTTCACTGAGTTTCTCAAGGTCTAGAAAGAAGGATCCCTGGAAAGAATGAAAATAGAAGGTACCCCTAGAGTTTGATGTTGCTTCCCTCCAAATTGTTTTAATGAAGTTTGGCTCCCCCCCGAAAAAAGGAACTTAATTCACCCCAGAATTCACCCGACAAAAGGAGCTCGTCATTACCCAGAGGCTCCAATTCGAGTCATTTAGGGCCCTCAACCGCCAGGTTTTGCCCCCAAACACCGGGTGTCCAATTCGGGCTCGGGTCTTGAAAACCGAAGCAAAGCGATCGATCGGAGCCTCTGGCTATTGTAATTTTGAGACATGCTCGGTTAGGATCATGATGTTGGTCCTTTTCTGGGATAAAGTCAGAAACTGGGATTTGCCCCTGATGTGCATTGGAGGGGTCATGACCCTTAGGGCGACCAACAGAATACTCAGTTGTTCAGCGGCACTTGTTCCCCTTTCTTTTTGCTGGCTGCCCCACTACAAGTGGTCTTCCCAAAGACTTCATTGTTTTTGGCCCAGGGTCACTGAACTCCTTGCCATTTTGGGCCGAGTTCTTTTTTTGAAGCCTCAGATCCGAGGGAGCAAACCAGGCCTGGCCGCGAGCCGCACCAACGCGGCGAGCTCGGAGATGGTCACGTGCCTTGGGCCAAAGCGCGGAGGAGGGGATCCCTGGAAGGAACCCAGAGATCGCCAAGCATAGGACCATATCGCAAGTAACGGCACATTCGGACATGGGCCCTCGAAAAGGCCTGATGCTTCGGGCAGTGTTCTTGGCGATTGAGTGTAGTTGGCTTGCCTCAAACATGGCAGCCCAGACCTTTACTGTTGCTAGTTCTTGGGGTAAAGTGGATGGAAAAAAGCAGCAACTGGCGATCCAGGCAATCCTTTTTTCCTGGAAAAAGTCAACCCAACCAGAAAAGGATGCCACCTGAATAGCCCAGTTGCGATGGCTTCTTTATCCGTCACTGTTGCGATCGGTTTTTTTGGGGGGGTTTTGAGTGCATGGGAAAGAAATCGAAAACGCCACTGGCGATTTTTGGTGGTTCTGTAGCGGTGGGCATCGAAAAGAGTTGATCTGTGAGGAGTCCGTCCGGGCTGGGGTGTTTCGTAGGGTTCGATTCGATTTTCCCTAGGGTCCATGAGCGTTTGGGGGCGGAATATCCCAGAAAACCGTCTGTCTAAGGATTCTAGGGATGAGTTGTATTTTTTTCTAGGGTTCCCCTTTTTGATGTTGTTTTCAAGGGAAACCAAAAAAGAACCAGCTGTCTTAGCGATAGAAAGCTGGTTTCCACCCCCTCAGCTCCTTCGCACAGTCAATCATTCAATCGCAACCTGGAGACTGGAAACACTTCATTAATCGCAACCTGAAAATTCATCTACCACCTCTCACAAAGGTCAATTTCGAAGGCCCAGAAGTGTAGTTGGCGGCATGTGTAGGGCTTAACCCATTCTACAGGGTAGTTTTGAGGGTCCGGGTGTCGGGTCCACAGTTCATCGGGGTTCAAAACACGAATCGGATCAGACAATTGGCGGTATTCCTGGTCTTCCTGTGTTAAAGCCGCTCGGAAAACCGGCAGCTTCAAAAAAAGGTGAACCACTCATTTGCCGACATGATGATTTTGGGCACGTGTTGGGCTACTGTTTTGCATCCATTGAGAAAGAACCCAAAAGGCTGCAAAGCTTGGACGTGGTTTGCACTCCCTGAGTTCCGTTTGGGATGAGTGAATCATTTGTTGGGTTTGGTTATCATTTTAGTGCTAAACGACTTTGGTTGCTTTGTTTGGCCAACTCACTCCATCGGAAGGGAGTAATTATGTCACCATATGTAGCCTGAACCGGTGCAGTCAATGCTATTTCGGGGGTCAGGGAGTCAGCTATGCCAAGCCTTGTAATTGACCCACAGAAAGGACGTCCCCGCATTTTGGCCAAAACCTTCCTGACGGTCGTGTTGGCCTATCCCAGTGATTTTCATGGTACCCATGCGTCACCAAGGTCTTCCCTTTAACAACCGGAAGGAACATGCTAAGATAGCCAAGTTGCTGTTTTTTTTTTCAATTGACTGCTGCTGATTTTTTGGGGTCGTGCATGGACACAAAAAACAGCAACTGGCGATCCAGGATGGATCGAAGGGTTGCCTATGAAGGTGAAACGGATTCCTGGGGGCTGCTGGGTCTGTGTAGACGACATGCCGTCGAGCTCGGCCGTGGCACTTGGGAAAAGGGAAGTTTGCGGAAAGGGGACCGAAACTAGGTTTTTCCAGTAGTGCCCTTTTACCCTTTTTTGGGTTGGAGAGTTCCCCTACTTCAATAGACTACAGAAAAACATCGGGTACCCTTGTTGTAACCTCTCTACTGGAGGACCTAGGAGAAGCATGGCTTTGGAGTTGTGGTAACTTACTACTTGGACCGAGCCTCAAGCTAGCCATGAAAAAGCAAAGGATTTGCCCCCCACCATAATTTTGGGCTGCAACTCAACCCCATGATCAAGTTGGTTTGAGGGTCCGGGCAAGTACCCGGTCCATTTCAGCCACTTCAACTCGAAGAAACCGTGCAATTCCCCGTGTTTGTGTGTTTTTCCAATGGGAACCACACAATACCTGCCTGGATCGCCAGTGGCGATCATTTTTTCCATGCACTTTACCCCCAAAAACCATCAACAGTGACTGAAAAAAGCGATCGAAACTTGACTATCCAGGTACCTTTTTTTCAGATGGTATGATGTCAAGCTTTTGCTAAAAGAGGGATCGTTGTATTTGCCCGATCGGTTGTCCTCAAAAAAGCAAAAATAGAAGGCTGGGTATTTGGAGCTTACGGGCTCAGCCCGACCAAAGCCCTTGGCTAAGGTCGCGCGCCCTTGCCAGGGGCATTTTGCTCGGTTCAACCAGCGAATCGTTCGATTCCAAACGTGTTTAGATCTTTTTAGTTGGTGCAAGGTGGCTGGGTCCCCACGCACTTTGCGGGCCTTCGAAAAATGGATATTCGAGGGCCCTGGGGTGTCCCTAAGAGGGGTTGGACCATGAGCGTCTGGGCACTAAAAGTTAAACTCTTAGGCGCATGTCAGCACCCTCGTGGGGATTTTTTTTTGCACGAGTTTCAACTCAGCCCCAAGATCTCTTGGCTGGGTGTGGTTTCATTTTTTACGATGGACCCCCCGACTCACCTCGCTTCCGGTGTTCCTGGACTTTTGCAACTTTTTGGGAAGACCATTTTAATTAGTGACATACAAACAGTTTGGGAGCTTTTGTTTGCCCATCCACTCGATCGGAAGTGACCCAAAGTTGAGTCTTATTTTTGCTTTCCTTTAACACCAGCCAAAAGGGGTAGCTCTTGCGTGGGCTAGGTCCCCCAGCTTCAGCCTTTGTTGGGTTGGAGGGTTCCCCTACTAAAATACACTACCCCCAAAAAAAATAAACAATCGGGTACCCTTATTCTAACCTCTCTACTGGAGGAGCTAGGAGTTGTAGTATCTTACTGCCTGGACCGAGCCTCAAGCTAGCCATAATCGGGCTGCAGGAGCTCACGTGGGCCTTCTGAGGTTCTTGCGTGGCACGGAGGATCGCGTGGCCGGCATCAGCGGGTGCCAAGAAGGCGGCTGAGCGTCCGAGACGGGCAGAAAACATCTGGCCGTGGGTGAAAGCCGTTTTGGGATGCCATTTTGGGGTACCCGGATAGCCAAGTTGCTGTTTTTTTCCAGTCACTGTTGCTGGTTTTGGGGGTAAAGTGTATGGAAAAAAAGCGATCGCAACTGGCGATCCAGGTAGGTGAAATCACCAGCCATTTTAGAACCGGGATTTCTCTTGCGGGGGTTAGGATGTTCACTGGGGCTGCGATTTGGATTTTCCCAAAGGGTCATGACCCCGGGACCCAATGCACACCCCAGCAGTTTTTAATGGAGAACCCGCTTGGCGACCAATTCCTCAAGAAAGAAAGCAACCCATTGTCAGGGCCCAAAAGTCTTCGGGAAGACATTTATAGTGTCAAATGTCAACTCCGGTAGAAGGCCCAGGGAGTGGGGAGCCTTTAGTATGGCAGCAAGTCCCCTAGTGGGGGAGCCCCTCCAAATCCATTGGGCATGGCAACCTCAATACCTGTGGTCTTTCAGACCGGTGTTGTTTCCTTTACTTGGGGTGAGCCATGGGCTGTAGAACCAGGGAAGTACCCAAACCACCAATCCAAACGGGTTCACCAAGCAAAAGTGGGCTCCTCAATTCCCCAGAGGGGACCCCCCCATCTCTCAAAATCAACCAGAGGTTCTACTTAGATCTGGGGCTCCCATTGCACATGGATCAGCCTTTGGCAAGTAGGTTACCAAGGTTATACCTGGTTGGTAACTGGGGTTTGACTTCTGGGTATAACCTACTTCCCTGAGGAAGGCAACGAACATCCAACAGGTGCAACTCTTGTCTCTTCTGCTGGAAATCCATGTCTCAGGTTTCTCCCACCCGCGTTTCGTAGAACCGGTCCTATGAATCTGGTGTCAACATCCGACAGAGATCCGATGCAACCCTTGAGGACTCCTTGTTCGGTTTACGTAGATGCTCCACCTACTGTGGATGGTTGCGAAATCCATTTCGCACCACCTAAGAAGCCCTGGAATGTTTGGATTCCCCTGTAAAATACCGTAACAACCGTTATGGTTTTCCATGGTGTCAAGGTGCTGAGGATTTCGTCCATCCACAGTATCACCACCCTAGGTTCTTTTGCAAAAATGAGTTCGTTCAACCTATGAACCAGGATGGTCCAAGTATTCCCGAGTTCATGGGCTTGAGTCACCTGTTGGGTCTGGACCATGGGCGGCAAAGGAACCGTTTGGTGACCATTTTGGGGGCAAGGTAGAGAGATGAAGACAAGAGATGGCATTCCTTCCTATGCCTTGTCTGCAGACGAGAAATAGAATGAGACAAGGCAAGGAGGAAGAGTGGGAAGGATAAGAAATGAGCTCGGATCGTCTCCCGCGAAACCGCCGCAGGCAACTCCGCGGAGACCTCAGCGCCGGAGGACGCCGCGGCGTTGCCGGGGCTAGGCGGCGAGGCGGCGCCGCCGCTGGCGGTGGCGGTGGTGCGCCACGCGGAGCGTGCGGATTCCCACGAGGTGAGGCGTCGACGGGTTTCGCGGGAAAAACATCTAAAACCATGATGTTGTTGGGTTGCAATCCCCCGCTTTTAAGTTGGCATTTTGAGGGCCCAGGTACCTTCCAAAACAGGCAAACCCATTTGAAGTAGGAATCTAGGAGTTGATTCCTTGTCCATTCTTTTCAGCCATCATTATTTTCAAAAGCCGATCACCGTTTCCCCAGGGTTTTGGGCGGTTTTTTAGAAAGAAGGATCCCTGGAAAGAATGGAGAAGTTACCTCTAGAAAAATGGGGGGGGGGGGGGAAGGGAGGGGAGGGCGACGATTGAGATCCAGAAGAATTCCTTGCTGGGAGCACGTGATCATGAACCAAGACTAAGGGAAGATCTCTTTCTTGGATGTTCAAGCTGGGGGAACTGGGGTTAGTTGGCTTATCCAGGGAAAAAAAGACCTGAGAAGGCTGAAGATGGTTGGGTGCATATTGGACCATTGTTGAATCGACCACCATTGTTTACCGTGCAGGATTGTCGGCTTGCGGGATTTCACCCACCATAATTTTGGGTGGCTATACCCCATTTCAAGTTGGGCTTTGGCGGGTTCAGGTGGGTGGTGTTTGGGGGCACTGCTGTTTTGGTGGTGCCTCGCTTCTCCAACATACCTTTCGGCCGACCCTCGTATCGGATTTCCTTGCCTCACCCCCTGAGCTCATGGACTTTAAGACTTGAAGCTTTTTGGGTCTGGGCCCTTTGGGCGGCTAACGAAAAGTTTGGTGCTCCTCAAGAAGTGAGTTAATTACGCGTCCCGGAGAATGCTCAAAAGCGTATGTAGGAAAGTCCTTGGATTCATGCTTAGCTACTTGTGATATAGTTCGCTTGGCTTTGCTTTGGAAACCTTTGAACAACCAATCACAAATAGCTTTGGTCTTGCTGCCTATGTCTTCTCCTCGTAATTCTCCAAATCCCCCCGTCATTGTTAGGTGGTTGCCTTTGGTGTTCAAAAAGCGGAAAGAGATGACAAGATATAGAAGCCGCGAAGCCTCAAATCTCAGGAGAAAACCACAACTGGGAGCCCCCAAACCCGAAGTTAAACCTCAAACTCAACAAAAGTTATTTGCTAGATCGCCAGTTGCTGCTTTCAAAAAGTTCCATCCACTCAACCACAAAAATGAATGCCCGAGGCATCATCGGGCCTTTTTGAGGGCCCAAGGTGTCCGAATGTTGCCCCCTTACTTGCGATATGGTCCTCGGGGCGTCCAATTACCCCAAAAACCAGCAACGGTGACTGAACTAAACGGCAACTTGGTTATCTAGGTTGCTGGTTCGCCGAGCTTGGACTGGATCCTTCAAGGGATCTATGCTGGAGAAATTTGCGCCAATCGGGACCATTTGTTGTTTTGTGCATAATTTGGTGCAGGCATTCGTAAAGGGAGCCTTTCAACACCAACAGGAAGATTGCTGCCTGGACCCTCAAAATTTCTTCATGGGTCATTGGGGCCCGAAATACTTGTTGGTGAATTCCGTTCAAGTGTAGTTTGAGGGTCTTATTGCGACAAATTCTGTTTGGTGAACTCCGACCTGTTTTAAAAGTTGGCAGTTGTTCCGGGCACCTACTGCAGAAGTGCTGGTCACCTCCCCTGGGGTGCTTCCTGGGGTGCTATAAGTGGCGAAACGAAACGCCTTGAGTCCAGGTACAGACAATTCTGCAGCTGAATTCAACTTAGTGTTGGGGGAGGGGGGTATTTGGAAATACCGTAGTTTCCACTAGCAAAAAAGCCTCCCCAAGGCTCAGGACCCCGCGATGCACACGCCATAGGTCCCACAGAGCGGTGCTTAAACAGTTTGGAAAAAGCAACTCCAAACAAGTCGATTCGGAGCCGACCCACCTTGCTCAACTAGGTCCTCCAGATTTGAGAGATTAGAATAAGGGTACCCTTTTTCTGTGTCTATTTTAGTAGGGGAACCCTCCCCCAAAATAGGGTAAAAGGGCAGGGACCTAGTCAAGACATTTTGTGGAAGAGTCCGCTCTTTTCCAGTCCTCTTTTTGTTGGTGAAGAGTCGACGAGGTACCTCTTGGAAAAATGGGTATTGTGAAGGGGGCCCGTTTTGCGCATCAAATTAAGACTCACTTTCTGAGTGGATGGGCCAACAGTAATAACCACGCTTTTCATTTGCCACTACAATGGGCCCTTGGTTGTTTGATGGTTTCAACTGAGGTGTTTGGTGATTCCCTGATTGGGAGCTCCCGGGGCAGAACCATCCACTCGCTTTTTGGCTTCGCCTCACTTCGCATGAATCGAAGGCCTTCGACGCCTGGTGCACCGCGGAGGATGCCGAGCAGCACCCGCTGGATCCACCCATCACGCCGCTCGGAAAAATCGCGGGAGTTCGCCTGGGGATAGGTGTTGGTCCCTACTTGCACGTTCGGCCAAGCTAGTAATGTCCACCTCTGATTAATAAACAGGGGGCCCCCCCGAATGACCCTAAATAAAGTTAAGGGGGAATGTTCAGGGTCAGGCACAGTTTAGAATGTGTTTAGTATTGGGCTCTGTTTTTTGGTTTTCGAATTATTGGGCATGTTGTTGCTTTCTTATTTTGCTTTGGGGGAATACTAGTTTAGAGTTGGGCCAATTCTAAAGTAGTATTGGGCCAAGAACTTTTGCATCAGTGGGAATCAGCTTAGCTTTACTTAGGGTCAGGAATTATTTAGTGCATGAGGCTTCATGGGGGGTAGCCTTGCTGGCAGGGTCAACTTGTGATCGTTGAAGGTTTCCAGATAAAGAGTTTGATGAAGGGAATCACTCAATAATTTTGGGATCTGATGGAATTGTTTCTTTTTGATGAGCCAGCTTGAATGGACAGTTTGCCCCTGAATAAAGATACAGAAGGGATCAGAGCAATTTTTGGACCAGTGCAAATCGGCTTAGCTTTATTTAGGGTCAGGAATTATTTAGTGCATGAGGCTTCATGGGGGGTAGCCTTGCTGGCAGGGTCAAGTTGTGATTGTTCAGGGTTTCCAGATAAAGATTTTGATGAATTTTGGGATCTGCTGGAACCGGAATCATTTTTTGATGAGCCAGCTTGAATGGAAAGCTTGCTCTGAACTGCAACCCGAACTTCTGGTTGGTCAATGAATTCCAACTTCTAGAAGTTAGTTCTCTCGCGCCCAGATTACCTAGAGCAATACATTTTTCAGCTGTTGTGGTGGATGCTTTGCCGTATGGTAAGGGACCAAGGGGAACCCCTGCAAATTCAACAATGCTTGGTGGTTGGTTTACTTGCAATATACATATTATATATATATATACTATACATATTATGTTTTTGGGTATTATAAATATATATATATATATATATTCATTGTATGTATACAAAAAATGTGTATATTGCGCATCCGCCGTATTTTCAAGCTCCCCGGTCGTGGGCGCCCAACAAACCACCCCCCACCTGGCCGCGAACCCGAGAAGCCGTCGCTGGAGGAAGCAGGGGCTGCTGCAGGCGCAAGAGCTTGCGGAGGCGCTGTCCCGGCAGAAGGTGGAGTTCCAGGCGAAGATGGGCGAAAATGTCTGCCTACCCTACTCCCTGCCTCTGACTTCAGACATGGACCCTCAAACTACCCCCCAAAAAAATGGATTTGTGCTGCCCCCTGCGGTAAATGGGGCATGTAAATGGTTTCTGTAAATACAATCGAATCTGAACCAGTGCAACCCATCTATTCCGTAATGTTGACCCCATATTCATCAACCCCTGCGTAGCAACAGGGAGGTGTTCGTTGCCGACAACTTGTGTTGCCCCCTAATGTTGCCCCTCAAGAAGTGAGTTACAAGCTCCGGAGAATGCTCAAAAAGGTTTGTGGAGGGTCCTTGGATTTATGTTTCGCTATGTGTTGCACCCAGTTCGCTTTGAGGAAACCTCTGAAACAGCAATCACAAATGCTGTGGTCTTGCTGCCCATATCTTCTATGTCCTCCAAATTCTGGTTGCCTTTGGTGTTCCTTTACGAAGCCTCGACCAAGCGGAAAGAGATGACAAGAGATACAGAAACCCAGAAGCCCCGAACTTCCCCAAACCTGAAGTCAAACCACAAGAAAAAGCTGCCTACCATGGACGAAATCCATTTCGCACCACGAATGAAACCACGAATGAAACCATTGCGTTTGTTGTACAGGGGAATCATCAGAAGCCAGGGTTGCTTGGGTGGTGCGAAATGGATTTCGTCCACCCACAGTTCGGGTCCGGGGCTTGGCATGTTGCGTGTACCACACCCGAGTTGCTCTAACTCGGGGTGTGAAAAGGACATAGTCTGAGGATTTCCCCAAATTCCATCGATCGGACCCTGAAGATACTACCCGCTTTTTTTTAGTTGCCCTAAGTCCCCAAGTCATGACCCCTGCAACGCAGACCCCCGGAACCTCCAATGTAGAACCCCGACTCAATGGCCCGAAAGAAAACAACCCATTTTGAGGGTTTGCCCAAAATCGCTCGAATCGGGACCCTTAAGCTAATATATGCTCAGCATTCCCCTGAAACACGCCAACCTGGATCGCCAGTTGCTGTGTTCTTTTCCCCATGCACTTTACCCCCAAAACCGATCGCAACAGTGACTCAAGAAAGCGATCGCAACTTGGCTATCTAGCAGAAAAGAGTTGCTGCCCTTATTCTAACCTCTCTACAGCAGCTCGTGGGCCTGAGGTTCTTGCGTGGCTAGGAGCTTTCTGCTAGACCCACCCGGGCTGTTGAGCAACCCGGGCTCCAAACGGCACGGCTCCCGGCACGGCTCCCGCCCGGCAGCCCGAGCGGATCCGAGCGGATCAGGTGGTGATCTCGTCCCCGTTTCTGCGGTGCCTGCAGACGGCCACGGTGCTGGCGGAGCATTTCAACGCCTCCATCCTCTTGGACCAAGAGCTCTGCGGCTGAGCTGCCGAAGAAGCTGGTGGGTGAACCGGTTGCTTATCAAAAACCACGGTTTTCCGAGACAAACAACATGTTTTGCTTTAAACACAAAAATATGTACAAAGTCTTCAAGAGAGCCTGATGGTTGAACCTCCTGGATAGCCAAGTTGAATTGTTGTTTTTTGTGTCAGTCACTGTTGCGATCGGTGTTTGGGGTGTTGAGTGAATGGGAAAAAAGAGCAGCAACTGGCGATCCAGGCTGTTGCTCACCAAAAACCACGGTTTTCCTGACAAAAACATGGTTTTGCTTTTTAAAACCCGTGCAAAGTCATGCAACACCCTTTTTGAGGACCCGTTTGATGCCTCCGGCAACCCACCAGGCCTGGAACTAAGCCATGGGCTTCAAGACGAGGAGAAGGGCTCAAGTTCCATGGGGTTTTCGGCTGGGTGTTGGGTGGGCCACTCTGAAACGAAATATGCACCCCAAATACCCACGAATTTCAGATGGTATAGGATATGATGTTGATCATCGGTATTTACCCTGGACAAAACGTAAAACAAATTGCGGGCAAAAAGACGGCCATTTCAAGCATACGGGGGGTCTTCAAGTGTGTTCAGGATCGGTAGGGCTCTTAGATCACTTGCTGAGTTCGTTACGGACGAGTGAGTCACTTTTTGGGTTTGGAGCATTGTCTTACTCGAACTTTTGATCTTTTCGTTTGCTCCTTTTGGTCCATGGATAGAAACGGCTAACCGTCTATTTCTGGGTCCTTTGGGCTCGGAGTTTTTGGCTGACAAAAAGTTCGGGAGCGGTTTTTTTGGGGCCATCCACGCAGGAAGGGAGTCAGAATCGTTTGAGGCTTGTTCTTGGGTTGCGTCCTTTGCGATGCTGTGTGCGAATGTGCAAAAAAAAGGGCAGGAAAGTATGGGGGAGTTACCGTCAGAATGGTGTAGTCATGTGTATGAACAATAATAATCACAAATGGTTTAAACAAAGAGTAAACACAATTATGAACGTATGCATATATATATATATACGTATCACAGCTCTCTCCTCCCTATAACAAGTGCAGAGATATTTCAGCCAGCCAACATGAAGCCGAGCACCTGAACCCTCAAAACTCCCTGCCTTAAACATGGGTAAGAGCAACCCACAATTCGGGTTCGTGAAATCCTGATGTTTATGGGTTTATGGGGTGAAGTCCCGTTTTTAAGTTGGTAGTTTCAGGGAGGAAGTCACGTGCCATTCACATCGCGTCGCGGCAAACCGAAATTTCCAAGGCGAGGTACTGGGCCCCGACGTCTACGAGGTCGAGCCACCCGAGGCGACTCGCTTCGGGGTTTTGGTCAAAAGAGGCTTTGTGACCCAACTGAAGAATGGGTGGTGAGTTGTAACCCAAAACATTCTGATAGGTGAAGTGCCACTTTCTATGCAGTTTGTGGCGAAACACAAAAAGCGTTCTGACCATGTCAGCCGACCGACTTACTTGGGGTTAGGGTTAGTCATGAACCCTTTAGTAGGGTTGTATGGATTTCTATGCACCTGGACCCTCAAAATACCAATTTGAAAATGGGGTGAGTTGCAACCCAGAAATTATGATAGGTGAATTGCAACTGTGTATGTAGTTTGCGGGTCCAGGTAGAACTTCCCCCTACCCGACTTCTTTCGGACCCTCAAGTCAAAACAAGTTGTGTCAAATTGAGGGCCCGTCGAGGTGTAGAGATTCTCCATCGGGCCAGTGATGCTCTCAAAGTATCCAACAGCTCCATTACGTTGATGATTTGGGTGTGTCTTTTTTTGAGGTTGGACCCCTCCGTTTGGGGTTGGGGGGGGTTTAGGGGGCTTGGGGCGTTGGGTTGGATCCTGCACCAACCAGGTAAGTGGTTGTTTTTGGTGCGCTTCGGATTTGGTCCAGCGGATGGCAATCCCTACCCTCCAAACCGGATTCCAAGCCGCAGGGTGAAGCTGATTTTACCTCACTCCCCGAGTTGGACTTTACACTTTTGGAATTTGGAAGATTTTGGTGCCCAGAGGCTCCAATTCGATGCATTTAGGGCCCTCATTAGCCGCCAGGTTTTGAGACTCCCAAACACCGGTGAGTGGGGTGTGCAATGGAGGGGTCTTTCATTGAACGCCGAAGCCAGGAGCCTCTGGGGGTAAATAAAAAGCTGGGGGACTTCTTCTGGCCCATCCACTCAGATCAGGAGCTGATTTTGTACGGATATGTCCATCCACGACGAGTCGATTTCGCCTGATCTCAGGTGCCATGGAGAGCCGTGGCAAAGATGAAGAGCCTTCTGCAGGCTCGGCGCCGAGTCGATGGATGGGAAGAGGCGAGGAACCAAAGGGAAAGAAAGGTTTTCTTGGATTTCCCCTCTCCACCCCTGGACCCGGAAAACTGCCTGATTGCCCCAAAACATTGGTAAATTGCAGTTTTTATGGGCAGTTTCAGGGTGCAGGTACTGAAAAGCAAACAGTGTGGTTACTTTTTTAGGCCAAGGAAGTGAGACTATGGCAACTGGAAGCACTGGGTAAGGGACACGTGACCGAATCAGCTTGGGATCCTCGTGGTTTCAGGCAAACCTGGATCGCCAAGTTACTGCTTTGTTCCAGCCACTGCCCTAGAAACCGGCACAGCTGCTGGGAAAAAACAGCAATTGCCGCACAACCCAAAGGCTTTCCTTGAAACAAAAAGCAACTGAAGCGCCTTTACCAGCTCATTTCTCAAGGAGCTGTTTCGATGGCAGATCTAGTTGTTGGCTGACGTTTCCCCATTGACCCAAAATAGTGGGTCCCCTTGGGTTGAGTTGGGAAACCAAAAAGGAAGCCGTTGCCATACAGGACCCACCCAACAAACAAAAGCAAAAGAAACCCGCCCAGACCACCCCTGCCCCCTCCCCCCCCCCAAAAAAAAAAAAGCAAAGCGGAATGAATCAATCAAAAACGACGCCCGCCCACTTGATGCGCATCTGGGGATGTCTTCCCCCCCCAAAAAAAAAACAAGACAAGATGAATCAATTAAAAACGAAGCCCGCCCACTTGATGCGCATCTGGGGATGTCTTCCCCCCCCAAAAAAGAACAAAGAAAAACGCAAAAAAAAAGAAAGAACAAAGCGAAACGGAAACCCCCCACTCCTCCCCGGCGACTTCTTCCCCCCTCCTCCCCCTTCCCGCCTGGCCGTCCAGGAGACCTCTGCCTCGCGTCTGAACTCGGCGCGGCTCATGGGCCAGCGCCCCAAGTGGCCCGAGCAATTGGGAGCCGCGCGGTGCAGGCGCCAAACCCAAACCCCGAAACTCGAGCTTGCGAGCCTCCTGAAGCCTGGGGTAGACTTACAAGATACATTTTACATTTTACCAGTGACTCAAAGTCATGCAAACAATAAAATAGGCATTCTGTAACTTGGCCTTGCTCCAATCATAAAACTGTTCGATACCGGGGGATGTTCATCTTGGGGGGTGCATTTTGTGATGGAGTTTGGTACTGTTGGAATCCCTCTAACAGGCGGATATGCTCAAGAAAAGACACCCGGACCGGTTATTGCTCGAAATTATGGATTCCTGAATACCCTTTTTCGAGGGTAGCTCATTGGGTCCAGGCAAACCCGCCACTCTTTCCAGTTTGTGAATAGTAATTTGCCTAGATGTTCACCCAGTAGTTAGCAGTGCCGCCTGTTTGTCATCAGTGTTCCCCAACTAGTGATCGATCGGACGTCACTTCCCATTGTCTTAAGCATATGTGTTATCTTCCTCTGGTGCTACAGGAAATGTAAATCACTAGAGCTGCTCTCAGAAATTTCTGGGAAAGTGTGAACTTACTTGTCCTTGCAAGGTTCACAAGATATGCGCCAGAATCCAGCACATGAAATTGGGGCAAAGATGAGGTTGACAAGGGGATCAAAAGGCAAGCCCCATAGTCTATAGCGGTTAAACCCACTTGCAACCCTGCTGGGTTACAACAAGTTTGCTGTGTTTGTTTCTGTCAGGGTGCCCTTTCTTGGAGGAAGCCAAAGGAAGACCATCATTGTCGGAGCCCTCAAATATTTAACCCAGATCGCCTGTTTCGATCGGTTTTGGGGGTAAAGTGCATGGAAAAAAGCAACTTGCGAGCCAGGAGTTCTAGTTTTCTGGGTACCCTTTCTTGGAGCAACCCAAAGGGGAGGGCCACATTGCCGGGGGCCCCGAAAAATATGTTCTGGATCTTTCAGACCGTAGCCGTAGGTACGCCAAGCGCTTTTTCGACTACTTGCGCCGCGCGCGGCACACCAAGCGCAGCTGCATCCTTGTGAGCCACGGCCACATGGTGCAGGCAGGATCTAAGCCGAAGCCGCTTGGGAAGGTGGGTCTCAAATTACCTGGACCCGAAGGAACTGCAATTCACCCACCAAAATGGTTGTCCAGCCAGAATGCCAGAATGGTGGTCGAACAACCCATTTGAATTCCCTGAATGCATGGGTTATGGCCCCAAAATTTTGGGGTGGATTCCCATATATTTTTGTTGTGGGTAGTTAGTTTGAGGGTCCAGGCAGCTCTAAATGGATATGAACCTAGGGAACCTCAAACAAAAGGTTGGTGGACATGAATCCCCAGGAAATGTTGATGTCCATCCGAGGTTTCTAATGAAAAGCTCATGCCCAAATGCCAAACCATTAGAAACCCTGAAAATATGTTTGTTTGTTTTTTCCTCAAGTATACCAAGAGCATAAGCATCAGAGGGCCAACATCCCCTTAAATCCAGGCGCAGGTATTGGGCGCAGTCTCTACACCCAATCCCGAATTCCAAAGACTTTAAATTCTCTAGATCTGGTATTTGGAGGGGGCAAAGAGGGGGGGAGGTCAGTTCCTTGTCCTTTGCAGTCGAATGCTTCCGTGTTGGCAATTGAGGGTGCGTCCTCTAAGCCAACTGCCAAAAAGGGTCCGCTCGGGGCTTCGTGTGCAAAACCCGGCACGCGTCCCCGTACCACACCCAAACGGAGTCTCTTGGAGTCCATGGATCGAACCCTTAGAATGCCAAGAAAGCATCATGGACAAACAAAATTCACCAACCAGCATAAGGTACGGGGCAATAGCCCGCTTTGATGTATTTTCAGGGTCCAGGTACCCTTTCATTGAGTTGTTGAGGTACCCAACTCATCTACTCCAAATACCCATTTTTCCAGGGTGGAAACCCCGACTTGTCAAAAACACGTTACAAACAAGTGGGCCGCTGGCGCTTTTTCAGGGGGCATGTTTTTTCACGCCCCGTGTTCATCCACCGCTCGAATGTCCGAATTTCCGCAGGTCTGCGCCTCGGTGCTGCCTGCCTGCATGCAGCGCAAGATCATCTCGGTGGACTACGCAGGCGGCGGTGGCGACGGAAGAAATCGATCAAAGTCGAAAGGCCCCGTTGGGCAATTTTGATTTTTCCCCGGGGCAACCAAGCGGCTTTCCGAAAGCAATGCCAACTCATCATGATGTTGCTGTTTTGTTTAAAACGAAAATACATATTTGAAGTATTGGGCGGAAATAGGGACCCGCGGATCGTTTTCTATTTACATTCTGGGGAACCCTGAGCGGTTTTTTCACAAAATGCAAACGAAAAAGAGAGGCTATTTGGAGATGACGGGGGTATCGGGACCCCGAAATCAGTGGATCCCAGCTGCTGCTAAAGTAGGCAACCCTTCGATCCATGTTTCTGTTGGCCCCAGCGGGGCGGAAAGCATTGGCTCCAAAACCTCTGCAGGAGTTGGGTTCCCATGAAACAGGGCTGGGCGCCCCCAAAAGTGCAAAAGTGGTCGGAATCCCAAGGGGGGACACCCCCAAACTCAACAAACAGATTTTGGCGAGCGACGATTTTCCCCAAAAGGCTTAGCCTTCCGGAAAGGCTAACTCAGACCAAGCAAGTTACTCCTGGTGATTTGTTTGAAGGGAGACCAAGGAAAAGGCCACCCCGCTTGGAGTGGCCGCTGAACGACAAGTCGACCACAGCACGAAAGTTTAGTTTGGCTCATAGCAAAGCCTAGCTAAACCTTTATAAGCATGCCCCGGACTCCAAATACCCGCCTTTAAAGGCTCCTTTCTAGGATATCCGGGTTTTCCAGGGCAAACACCTGCCCCCTTTTAGTCAAGGATCAACATGATACCCTATCAGACCCTGGAAGAAGTGGGGTATTGGTGCAGGGGCATTGGAAGAACCCAAGAGTCGATGGGTTTCGGGGGCTTATCACTTAGCTGACATGCCTCGCCCCTGTCCCCCCCATTGTCAGGCATGCGCATCAAAAAAAAATTAATTCAGGATCAAAAAAAAATTAAATCAGGATCAAAAAAAAATTAAACCGTTTTACAAGCACACACACGTAGGCCCCAGGGCCAACCGGGGGTGGCCAGTTAGCAAGTTAACAAGTTAGCAATCCTTCGGGGGGGGGGGAGGGCCAGTTAGCAAGTTAACAAGTTAGTAAAGTCGGAGGGGGGGAGGGGGGGTTAGCAAGTTAACAAGTTAGGGGGGAGGGCCAGTTAGCAAGTTAACAAGTTAGTGAAGTCGGTGGCGGGGGGGGGGGTTAGCAAGTTAACAAGTTAGCGAAGCAATGCTTCGGGGGGGAGGGCCAGTTAGCAAGTTAACAAGTTAACAAGTTAGTGAAGTCGGGGGGGGGGGGTTAGCAAGTTAACAAGTTAGCAATCCTTCGGGGGGGAGGGCCAGTTAGCAAGTTCAGAAGTTAGCAATCCTTCGGGGGGGGGGGGGCGAGGGTCTGTTAGCAAGTTAGCAAGTTAGCAATCCTGAGAGAGGGAAGGGCCAGTTAGCAAGTTAGCAAAGTCGGAGGGGAGGGGGCGAGGGGGGGCGGAAGTCAGCAAGTTGACAAGTCAGCACTCCTTCCGGGGGGAAGGCCAGGTAGCAAGTTAACAAGTTAGCAATCGGGGGGGAGGGCCAGTTAGCAAGTTAACAATCTAGCAGGGGGGGGGAAGTTAACAAGTTAGCAATCGGGGGGAGGGCCAGTTAGCCACGGGGGAGGGCCAGTTAGCAAGTTAACAATCTAGCAGGGGGGGGGGAAGTTAACAAGTTAGCAATCGGGGGGAGGGCCAGTTAGCCACTTAACAATCCAGCACAGTTTGGGGGGGGGGGGTCGCGTTGAGATGAATCACGGAATCACGGAGTCCGATCAGCATGGCTGCGCGCACGCGTACATACCTACCTACCAACATACACACACACACACACATACTAGATACTACATACTACATACACATGCATGCATACATACGTACATACGTACATACATGCATATACACACATAAATGCACACGCAAACAGGCACACACACACACACATACATACATGCATGCATGCATGCACACACACACACACATACATACATACATACATACATACATACATACATACATACATACATACATACATACATACATACATACATACATACATACATACATACATACATACATACATACATACATACATACATACATACATACATACATACATACATACATACATACATACATACATACATACATACATACATACATACATACATACATACATACATACATACATACATACATACAGACATACAGACATACATACACAACATACACACATACATACATACATACATACATACATACATACATACATACATACATACACACATACATACGTACATACATACATACATACATACACACACACACATACACACATACATACATACCATACAACACATCCATTACATACATACCATACATACATACATCATACATACATACATACATACATACATACATACATGCATACATACATACACACACACATACATACATACACACATAGAAACACACACATATGTATTTATAATATATATATATATATATTTGTACACACACATACATGCGCAGTGAGGCTTTGCTGTGTTTGCCCTACCTACCAGCCTAGACCCTGCTGCAGGGCATCCATATTTTTCTGTCTTTCTTTCTTTCTGTCTGTCTGTCTTTCTTTCTTTCTGTCTTTCTTTCTTTCTTTCTTTCTTTCTTTCTTTCTTTCTTTCTTTCTTTTTTTGTATTTCTTTCTTTCTTTCTTGCTTGCTTGCTTTCTTTCTTTCTTTCTTTCTTTTTCTTTCTTTTTGCTCTCTCTTTCTTTTTCTTTCTTTCTCTTTCGTTCTTTCTCTTTCTTTTTCTTTCTTTCTCTTTCTTTCGTTCTCTTTCTTTCTTTTCTTTCTTTCTTTCTTTCTTTCTTTCTTTCTTTCTTTCTTTCTTTCTTTCTCCCCGCAAGCTCAGCAGCTTGCGTGTGGAAAGCGCGTGAAGGGATTGCAAGCGCTGGCAGGAGGGGCGAGCACACACGAACACACAAACACACAAACACAGACACAAACACACAAACACACACAAACACATACACACAAACACACACACAACACACACAAACAAACACACACACACGTAGACACATACATACACGCGTGCATACACATACATACGTACGTACACGCACACACGCATACGTACATTCACACAGACACACACACATACATACATACATACAGGCATCCATGCGTACACACATACATACATACGTACACACACACACACGCACGTACACACACACGCACACACACACATACGTAGACACATACATACATACAGACATACAGACATACATACGTACGTACATACACACATACGTACATTCACACATACACACACATACATACATACATACAGACATACATACGTACACACATACAGACATACGTAGACACATACATACATACAGACATACATACCTACAAACATCCATCCATCCATACATACATACATGCATACATACATACACACACATACATACATACACACATAGAAACACACACATATGTATTTATAATATATATATATATAGATATTTGTACACACACATACATGCGCAGTGAGGCTTTGCTGTGTTTGCCCTACCTACCAGCCTAGACCCTGCTGCAGGGCATCCATATTTTTCTGTCTTTCTTTCTTTCTTTCTGTCTGTCTGTCTGTCTTTCTTTTTTCTTTCTTTCTTTCTTTCTTTCTTTCTTTCTTGCTTGCTTTCTTTCTTTTTCTTTCTACCTACTACCTACTACCTACTATCTACTACCTACTACCTACTACCTACTACCTACTACCTAGTACCTAGTACCTACTACCTACTACTACCTACCACCTACTACTACTACCTACTACCTACTACCTACTACCTACTACCTACCACCTACTACCTACTAACTACTACCTACTACCTACTACCTGCTACCTACTACCTACTACCTACTACCTACTACTACTACTGCTTCTACTACTACTACTACTACTACTTCTCTACTCTACTACTACTACTACTACTACTACTACTACTACTACTACTACTACTACTACTACTACTACTACTACTACTACTACTACTACTACTACTACTACTACTACTACTACTACTACTACTACTACTACTACTACTACTACTACTACTACTACTACTACTACACTACTACTACTACTACTACTACCACTACTACTACTACTACTACTACTACTACTACTACTACTACTACTACTACTACTACTACTACTACTACTACTACTACTACTACTACTACTACTACTACTACTACTACTACTACTACTACTACTACTACTACTACTACTACTACTACTACTACTACTACTACTACTACTACTACTACTACTACTACTACTACTACTACTACTACTACTACTACTACTACTACTACTACTACTACTACTACTACTACTACTACTACTACTACTACTATACTACCACTACTATTACTACTACTACTACTACTACTACTACTACTACTACGACTACTACAACTACCAGTACTACTACTACTACTACTACTACTACTACTGCTACTACTACTACAGAATTTATATTTTTTTGATCCTGAATTAATTTTTTTTTGATCCCTTAGCCCCATTGTCAGGGTGCACCCCTGCGGTAGACCTTTCTCAACCTATTCTTATCAGTTGGTTGCAACCTGAAGAAGGTCCAAAACCAAAATCAATGAAGGTCCCTACCCCCGGTACTCATTGGAAAACCAAGGGTTTCCAGGGTGACTACCACCTTCAGTTGACATCGGGCATTGGGTGTAGCAGTGAGGTGATGTAGACCCCTTCAATGGGATCGGGTCCGAAATCTGATGTGAATCAGTTGAGATTGGTCTTCCCCGCGGGGTTGTTGCTTGGTGACCCTACTACTGTAGACCCTTGTAAGCAGGGTTGCTTTCCAAGACGATGATTGGTGCCACCCGAACCTTTACCTTCAGGCGGCGGTGAAAAAGCAACAAACTCCAGTCCGGAGGCTCCATTTGGCTTCAGGTCGCCCAAGCTGTGCGTTGGGAAGAAAAGCTACCCCCTACTCCTACCCGCTTTTGTCATCGTGTCAACCCGGGATCCCTTTGGACAGCCCTGGAGCAAACCAGGATAGGCATCAGCAAATGCTTTGTGGGCATCAAACAAAACCACTTCTTAGGCCTCAACCAGTTTTTTGTTTGATGCCCCACCCGAACAAACCACCAGTTTTTGTTGGACGCCCGAACCAACGTCCCGGAATTTGGGGGGGCGAGATTTTCCGACGCAGGTATTAACAAGTTTACAGGTATCAAGACAAGTTTGTAGGTATCAAATCAACTTTATAGGTATCAACATCAACTTTTTAGGTATCAAAATCAACTCCAGTTGCTGTTTGACGCCTCCCCTGAACGAACCAAAGCCCCGGTGTCTGGGGCAGCGCGCGACGTTTTCCGTCCGACGTGTGAGGCGTGGTCCTGGCCACCTGCCACCGCGTCGAATCGGAGGCCTCCGGCTCGGTGCCCCGCGCGCTGGCGCTGGGCGCGCGGAGTCAATCGCTGCGCCCGGGATGCGAACGTCCTGTCGGGTGCTTTGGCCCCCCTCAATGACTCCAACTTACTTCCTAGATTGCTGTTTTGTTAGTGGAAAAGGATGCGAAAGAATGGAAATGGAAGCTACCTAGATAGCCAAGTTGCTGCTTTTTTAGTGACTGTTGCTGGTTGTTGGGGTAAAGTGCATGGAACAAAGCAGCAACTGGCGATCCAGGTTCTGGTGTTCCTTTAGGCACTTTTTGGGAAGACCGTTGTGTTATGTTCCCCTCTTGGTTTGGAATTTATCACTTCTGCAGAATGGTTATTATTTTTCCAGCGGGCTTAAGTTAAATGGAAGTCCCCATGTTTATTAGTCAATACTTTTCGAAAGACCCCTCTACCAGGAACGATTCCCAGGTGCCTGTTTACCACAGCTCACCCTTCGATCCATGCTCCTTTCCACGGAAACTTAGCCAGAACCACTAGGCACCTTGGGCCCTCAACCCCCGTAAGATCCAAATCCCCGTCTTTTTCACTTGGAGCTTTTTGGAGAACCTGGCTTTTCCAGGTACAGTACCTCCTTGATAAGCCAGGGCTCCCTTAATGTCCCCGCCTCTTCTCTCCCCCCCCCCCCCGCATTTTGGACCTCAAATATTTTGTAGGACCATGCCAGTAAACTGCCAACGTTTGAAGGGGAACGCCAGTGAGTCCTGTCAGCTCAACCCCTACTCGAAATACATGTTTTTTAGGAAAGACATCATGAAAAAAACGAGGGATTGGGTGGTTATGGAGGGCACCTGTTTGACTTGAGCCACAATCAATACCCGGCTAGATGAAGGTTAGAAAGGGGCTGTTCCAGCCCGCCTTCGTAATTCTTTACATGGTTCTGTGTAGACCATGTTAATGCCGGCTTTTGAGCGAGTGACTCACTTGCCTTTCTTGGGTTTCCATCATTTTACCTTTCAACCCTTCGCCATGTGCCGGGCCCTTTGCGTCGTTTTTGGGCCGGACTCGTCTAGGATTGACACCCGCGCGAAGCCGACGGACGGCGTGGAGGAGGCCGCCAAGGACGGGGGGGGGGAACGAGGAGCGATGTTGCCCGTTTGGTTTCAGCCTGGATCGCCAGCGGCGTTTTCGCTTTTTGCCCATGCACTTTGCCCCAAAACAACAGCAGCAGTGACTGAAAAAAGCGAAAACGCAACTTGGCGATCCAGGAGGGAACTTTAAGTGTCCCTCCTGGAACCTTCATGTTTACTGCATCTGTGTTTTTCTGGTGTGACATTGTTGGCGACTCTGTTTTCCTTGTGCGTTTAGAGTCGACATTCTGCGTGTGACCATGGAATCAGGTTTCCCTTAGTTAAGCTTCCCTCCAGAAAGGGTGGCTTGAAGCCGAATCGGTGGCTTGGGCACAATTTCCAGGAACCCGTCCAAATCCCAAACCACCAAACTCACCCATTGGGGGGGGACCAGATGTCGCGGCTTGGATGGGTGAGTTTACTTTTACCCCGTTCGTTTTGGATTTGAACGGGGCCCCTGGTTTCAGAGCAACCACTCCTCCAAGCCACCAGTCCTTGAGGGAAGCTGATGGAAGGTCCCAAATCGGGCGGAACCCTCAAAGCATCCAGGTCCTACCTGGAAATCGCCAAGTTGCTTTTTCGCTTTTTTCAGTCACTGGTACGGTTTTTTTGGGGTAAAGTGGATGGACAAAAAGCAGCAACTGGCGATCCAGGTAGATGACCAAGTTGCGAACGCCTTTTTTGTGGCGATCGGTTTTGGGGGTAAAGTGAATGGAGAAAAGAACAGCCACTGGCGATACAGGGTGGTTCTTAGCGTTGCATCTCCGGAGTTTCGTCCGGGCCCGAAATCAACTCCAAAGTCACTAAAGTCCGAAATCTGATTGTGGTTATGACCTGATCTGTGGGCCATGCTAGTACCTGGAGTCTTGATGACCCTTCAAACATGGGTCCATGACCCCTTTGTTTTGGGTGCTGACCCATTTTTTAGGGGTCACGGAGACTTCGCCAGTGGCGTTTTCGTTGTTTCCATCCACTCAAAACCCCAAAACCGATCACGCTTCAGCGACTGAAACACAAAGGAGCGATCGCAACTTGGCTATCTACCTGGAGTCTCCATGACCCTTTAAAAATGGGTCAATGACCCCAGTATTTTTGGTTTTGGGTAATGACCAACCATTTTTCAAGGGGTCGCCCCTTAGCTTTCGGGGGCAATCTCGAGGACCCGCAGAAGCAGCTCCTGCAGTGCAACCAGCTGATGCAGGCAGCGAGGCTCAAGTACTGGCAGGTCTGGATGCAGGGCGCGCCTCGGACTTGGCGTGGCAAGTGGTGCAATTTGATTTGTTTTTTCGGGCCCTTAAGGACTTGGTCGCTAAGGGTTTTCCATTGGAGGGTGCGGGGGTCTGCAGCAACAAACACGAGCGGAAATTGCGAACCGACCCGTCGGGTCGATGGAAGCCCTTCGAACTCAACCCAGGCCGACTCCTAAGTGGTGCTTGGTTCTCTGTCCGAGTGCTTCCGGGCACCTCTATGGGAGGTTTCCATAGGTCTTTCACCAGATGTTTGTACCATCAAGGTTTTACACCATGGTTTCGCCTGGTTGCCTAGCGTGGCAACTGGAAGCACCAGGCTTTTATTGGAGGGGGTTCCCCTTAACATCAACTCAGATTCGATCGGCTTCGGCTTGTGGACGACCCCATTGGACCCATTGGACACCCCGCCAGCCGGTGGTTGCGGTCTCAAGACCTGGCTGCTTGAGGCCCCAAATCAGATTGGAACGTCTAAGGAACTACGATAGCCAAGTTGCTGCTTTGTTCAGTCACTGTTGTTGGTTTTTTGGGGTAAAGTGCATTGGAAAAAAGACAGCAACTGGTAATCCAGGCGAAAAGAGAAATAGCAGTTCGGGAGTAAAGAAGAAATCCGCAGTGCGCTTGGGCGATTGCCATACCCAAGGTCACTGGAAAGCAGGGGCACAAAGGTCTCACACGAACCGGGAGGAGCCTCCGGGTCCAGCTAAAATCGCACCACCCTTTGGGCACGACAAGAAAGACTGGTGTTTTGGGTGGATGGGAGCTGGCAGCAAGTTTTTGAGAGCACCTAGATATACCTGGATCGCCAGTTGCGATCTCGCTCTTTTTTTTCTGTGCACTTTGCCCCAAAAACCGATCGCAACAGTGACTGACAAAAACTGCAACTTGGCACTTGGCCGGCAGGGCTTGGGCAGCAAGCAAGCTCTTCACGACAGGCGATAGATCCGCCAAAGTGCACTTGCTGATCCATCTGATCCGCGTTTGGACCGTCTTTTTCTTGCGGGTGGCTGGTGTTTTTGGCCTTGGAACCGAACAGAAAAGGAGTATGCACCCACGTGATCTTGAAAAAGACATAGCCGGAGTCGATCTCTCTGGTCTGGGACTGCTTGAGTTCTTGAAGTTTTCTGGGCGGAATCCTCGTAAAGCGCAGCAGTTGGGATGGATGAAGGGCGATTGGGATGCTGGGATGAAACACCAATCTGGTGCAGGATATTGTTCATGCCAGGATGAAAATAAGTGTCCCTTCGTTGGGTGATGTTTAAAAGGGACCTGAAAACTTGGGTAAGGCTTGGTCAAGGCAATGTTGTCGTCGGTTTGAGTGTAGATCTGACCACAACCAACTGGAATTCACCCCATAATTTTGGGGCTATAACCCATTAAGGAAATGTTGAGGGTTCAGGAAGACTTAGTTGGCCTGATTCGGAGCTCGTTCGCCCTAACAAGTCTTATGAATGGCAGACAAATCCGGCAAAAACACGCACCATGCACTGGAGATCATTCCTAACGGCAACAGCCTGAGAGGTGAGTAAGTTGGGTTGATCCGCCGCTTGCCTGCTTGAATTCGCCCTTCGGAAAAATCACCAATGGGTTCTTCCGTGGCACGCATCGAAGGCTTGACTTTTTAGCTTTGTTCTTTTTTGGTCAGGTCAGTTTCCCAAAAAGGGTGAACTTTGCAAGTCTAGACATCAGGGATATCCTGCGATGACAAACGGTGAATCGATTTTCTCGTTCTCTGAGGTGCGCTATGTGTCTGCCCGCCAAGTGGGCACACCGAAAGTGTTGCAGCAACTGCAGGCGACTCCGCTGGAGTTGAAGGTGTCAGAGATGGCACGGGTTGACAAACCCACTATTCACAAGAATGGGAACCCGGAGCAATAGACCTGGTGTCCCCCCTAAAGTTAGGAGCCACTCGCCTGTGAATAGAACCGGTCCATTGATCTGGTGTCAACATTACCATTCTTTCTCTGGGTAGACTTTTTGAACATCCGGGTGTGCCGTGCCCAGATCCAAGTTACCAGCACGTCACTTTGTTTTTTCCCTTTGCTCAGGTGGCGAGCCCTGGGTCGACAAAACGTTGGGCGGCTCCCAGCCGTCTGCCGTAGGCTTTTAGATTTTGGTTTTCCTCACTTTCTGAGTTCATGAACTTTAAACTTTTTGAGAAGACCATTTTAGTGGTAAATAAAAAGTTCAAACTTTTCTTGGGCCATCCACTCAGCCAGTGAGTTTCTGGTGGTACCTTCCATGTCCAGTCTTTCCAGGCTGTGGGGAAACGGATCCGGTGGTTGAAAAGAAGGATGGTTGCGTTGAAAACAATGGACAAGGAATCAACCCCTAGATTTTAGTCGGTTTAGTGGTTGGGTTTCCATTTCACTCACTAAGCGTTATTCACTTTTGGCAGGGGATCAGAAAGCAGGCGCTACAAGACCTGGTTTTGGGGTGAGGCATGAGCTTGCTGGTTCTCAGCAGGGAATGAGCTGGAATGACCCCTAAAAACCAGCTATCATTTGGTTTCCTTTGTTCGATAATCCACAAAATCGGTTAATTCCCAGCATCCGGAAGGTCGATTGAGCACCCGCAAGTAGCGGAAACCCCCCCAAAGCTTCCCAGACCGATAATATGAATCAGTAGTACCACCACCCCCACCCCCCCACCCCCCCACCCCCTCTTTTTGGGATAGCTTCAACCAGACAACTGGAACAAACCACAAACCCGCACCCTCCTTTCGATTTCACGGCTCAGCTTTGTTGCATGTTGCTTGGGTGTTTTCATTAAACCACTAATTTGTTCAACCTTTGGCAGGTGAGCAGAAAGCAACCGAGAAAACCCTCTTTTCATGGTTGTGGTTGAAAATGTTTGCTCCCCTTCCAACGTCAACCAAGTGTTGACCCCAGATTGATAAGCTCCCTTTGATGTTGACCCCACCCTAACCATCATTAAGACCTCCAAACCACAAACCGGAACCCTCCTTTTTAGGGGTTCACAGCTTAGCAAGACCTCTTTGGCATCCCCTCTCTAAGGGTGGAAGTCCATACCCCTTGTTCATACCCCTTGGCTTCCTTGGTTTCCAACTTTACAAGGGCTGTAGACCTCTTTTGGGGAGAGGATGGTATGAACATCAGGCCATTTCAGGGCTTCTCGACACGGATCGCTGCGGGATTCGAGGCTCACCTGGGCCCCTCCTGGCGGGATGTGGAGCGCCTGCTTGGGCTGCTGCCCTCTCAGGTGGGAGGTGTCACGTGTCACCGCCCCCTCGTTTTCGGGTGGTTTGGGGGAAACACCAAAGGAAACACAGTCTTCTTCCTTCTTTCTTTTTTTTTGGGGGGGGTTCCGGCAGCTGGACGATGTGTAACATTCCAAAACAAGAAAGCTGAAGGGAAGTTGCTCCCCCAATCTTGGTGGGGTAATTTGAGGGTCCATGCACCATTGCCCGGCTCTGAATCAGTGGAGTGGTTTGTGTTATTGTTTCTGGACCCGAACAAACTACCCAGACAAAGAAAGGGATTTCACCTGAAAAACCCACCTGTCAGCTTGCTTCCAATTGGAGCCGGAGCACGGTGGTTTGGTTTGGTGTTCGTGGTTCCCTTCAACAAGAACCAGCGCTTCAAATCCAGGGGGATACCTGAGTTCCCCCCAACAACAAAAAACGCTGACGCACCAAAGAACCCTCAAAAAGTTCCATCCGGAGCTCCAAAACCACTCGCAGGGTCCCATCTACCGTGAAAAACCTCAGCGTTTCTTGGAATCCAGGAGCTGTCTCCCGGCTCCGAGAGCGGCGGGAGCGCCTTGGAGGTCGAACGAGGAGGGATTACCCATCGAAGCCGTAGGGAACGACCCATACTAGGTGCTTCAGCTAGGTGCCCTTGTACTATACCGGCTTTTTTGGGGGAGGGTTTCCCCTACTAAGTAGACTACAGAAAAAAAGGGGAACCCTTATTCTAACCTCTCTACTGGAGGAGCTAGCATACAAAGCGGGGGAATCCGCTCAATATGTTTTTGTGGCGACCCATTTTGGAGGGCAAATTGAAGGTTCATGTACCCCTTACTTAGTTGGTTCGTAGGGAAACCAAGAGGAAAGCCACATTCAGCTTTGACCCCAAGACCGGGCTTTTCGCAGGGCTCCCTGGCTATAATGTTTAAGAGCATAGGCGTTCTTGCTCGTAGCTTGGTTTTGGTTTAGATGGCTGTCATGCCATTTCTCATGGCCATCCCATTTTCCAAAAGGTCACCTATGTTTAAGAGTTTGAACCACCAACAGTGGGTTATAGCCTAGGTTACCAGCAACCTACTTGGCGACACTAGATTAATCAAAACCCATGTGGCTAATAGGGGGGTTTGCTGGGTTTATTTTTGGAGGGGAACTGGAATTCTGGGTCAACAAAAAATGCTCGTGTCCGTGTCGGATCCCGGCGCAAGGTTTCAGGTGCCCCGATCTTTCGGTAAGAAACAAGGATTGTTTGTTTAGACAGGCAACCCTGGTGGAAACGGATCCGTGGAAGAATGAAGATGTGTGCTTATGTTTTTTACCGCTTGGTTTTAATCTTAAAGATAATCTATCACTGTTGGAAATATATATATATATATATATATGTATATATATATATGTATATATATATATATATATGTATATGATATTCCCCTGTTGGTTTTAGAGTTGGACTCTATCATTACTAGAAATATGTTCTCACGTTTTTTCCAGGCGAAAGAGCAAATGGAGGAGACCCTGGTTGAAACATCCCGGATGTAAATCCTAGGCTTCTAAGCCCGTGGTCCCCTCTGCGGGCGGGGATTCACGCCACTTTGGGGGGGCCGGAGGCCCATGGGATGTGACCGCATCCGCGTTGACGTATTCCTTCTCCCCGAAGACCGGATCTTTTTGGCTGGAGCGTTGGACTTTGGAAACTTTCGGAAACGGTGGATGTTCGATTCACAAAGTCTCATACGTTTTGCAGAGGGGTCAACAACAAGCAGGTGAAAAGCGCTGCTCTTTGGGTTTGGAAAATGTTAGTGGAAAACAAAAAGTTCCTCGACCTTTTTGGCCCATTTCGGTCGGAAGCGATTAGTTAATAGCTTTGGACATTGGATGATGACAATCCTGAGGTAAGCGTTTTGGTGGTGAAATTTGAACCCATTGCGCTATTGTTGGCCTGCAATTCATGATGATGACACTCCTAAGGTTATAGAACCCAAGCATTGTTTTAATGGTGGCCAGCCTGAACCTCCAGGTAGGGACATGGATCTCAACATCCTTTCCCCAGTGCTTGGTGCTTTTTCTAGACAGAAGGATCCGAAAGAATGGAAATGGAAGCTTCCTAGATAGCCAAGTTTTTTTGGGGTAAAAAGCAGCAACTGGCGATCCAGCTACCGCCAGAAGGTGCTGGTAGCCATCAATCCAAGGGACCTTCGGGCGAACGCTCTGGGAAAACGATTTTTCCCTTTTGTTCCCCTTGTTTTATATATATATATATATATACATATACGCTTTTACCTGGTTTTAATGGTTTGTCTACCAGAAAGAGCCCAGCAACCGCAGAAAGCATTCTGAGGTTTCAGCACCAACACGCACACGGCCACCTCCATGAGCCCTGGCAATTCTTTCGACGGTTCGCTCGTCGCTTTGGGATGTTCCTGGTGACCCACGTCCGGTAGGTACCTCCTGGATCGCCAGTTGCGTTCTCGTTTTTTTCCATGCACTCAAAACCCCCAAAACCGATCGCAACAGTAACTGAAAAAGGGATGGCAACTTTGCGATCTAGGAGAGGGAATCTTGGATGGTGGTTTGGATTGGTGATTTGTAAAGGAAGAAATGCGATCTTCTCCTTTGTGGACTGAAAAAGGCGATCGCAACTTGGCTATCTAGATTGTTGGTAAGCATGGTACTCGTAAGTAGGGTAACTGAGGCCCCGGGTTCCAAAAAAGACAACATGGTTATCAGCTAAGTGGTTCCCCAAAAGCATGGTTACGAGCTACTAAGTGGATTCCCTTATAACCATGGTTATAATCTAATTGAACATCCCAAGTAGCACAGCTGTTGCCTTACGTGTGGCCCACTTCCAGTTGCAAGCCACAAGACCCAGGCAGCCAGATGTGTGCTTTACCTCAAGGGACATGGGTTGTTTAGTCGTGCAAGCCACAAGAGGGCAGACAGAGGTTGTTTTTGGTTACATTGAGGTTTTTCATGATGGCTTCTTTACGTTACCTACTAGAATGGTTGGTAGCGGGAAGTACTGGGTTGGGATCTCCTGACATGATCCCTGTGATTCCTGCGATTGGGGTGGAAATTCCGGTGTTCAACTGGTTGGTTTGCATTTTGTGTGGAATTGTGGTTTCTTTAACAGCTTGGAAGCATATGTGGACCCTCAAACTGCCCTTAAACAAGTTAGAGTTCACCATAATGTTAGGTTGAAAATCACCCCATGTTGGAATTTGAGGGCTCAGCTACAACTGTTTTGGTCGTGAAAGGCTGTTCACCCAAAAGGTGGGGTTGCTATAACCCGTTACGTCGGGAATTTTGAGGCTTCAGGTAACAACCGTTGAAAATTGGTTGGTCGCGGGTTGTTCGCTGCCCAAAACGAATCGACCTGAAGGACCATGTAACGTGCTCCTTTTGCTCCATTTTTGGACATGGCCCCAACAGGTCAACCTTTTACTTCCGGGTCCTTTGGGCATTTGACCAAACTAGTTTATAACTCAAAAGCCAGGTCCCACCCACACCCACACCCAGACCATCGGTCTTTTTCTTGTTTCCCCACCCACACTCACACCCAGACCGTTCACACCCAGACAACCGTTCACTCCAAAAACAGAACAAGATGTCTTGTTCTTTTTCTTGCTTGCTTTTCTTTCTTTTCTATGTGTTTTGTTCTTCCTCGTTAAAAAAAAAAAAAAAAAAAAAAAAAAAAAAAAAAAAAAAAAAAAAAAAAAAAAACGTTCGGTTGCTCTTTTTTTTCCGCTCTGGAAGGAACATGTTCCGTGACCCCAGCTGGGTGCCCAACTCCCCGCGGGAGTGGCCCACGCCGCAGCGGCCCCGCACGCGCTCCAAAGCGAGCGGCGCCGGGAAGGAGCCGTCGGAGGGAGACTCCGCTGGCAGTTGGTGAGGTGTTTGGTGTTCGTTTGTTGTTTTTTTGGTGTTGTTGGTAAGTGTTTTTGTTTTTTGTTGGTAGTTGTGGGTTGGTAAGGTATTTGGTGTTCAGTTTCTTGTGTGTTGTTTTTGTTGGCAGGTGTGGGTTGGTAAGATGTTTGGTTCAGTTGCTGTTGTTTTTTGTTGTTGTTAGGTGTTTGCTTTGTGTGTTTCTTCTTTTTTCGGTTGTTTTGTTTTGTCGTTGTTGGTAGGTGTTTGTGCTTTCTTCCCAGTTGTTGTGTTTTGTTTTTTTGTTGGTAGGTGCGGGTTGGTAAGGTATGTGGTGTTCAGTTTCTTGTGTTTTTGTTGGTAGGTGTGGGTTGGTAAGGTATTTGGTGTTCAGTTTCTTGTGTGTTGTTTTTGTTGGTAGGTGTGGGTTGGTAGGGTGTTTGGTTCAGTTGCTTTTGTTTGTTGGTTGTTGGTAGGTGTTTGCTTTGTTTGTTTCTTCTCTTTCCGGTTGTTGTGTTTTGTTGTTGTTGGTAGGTGTTTGTTTTTTTCTTCCCAGTTGTTTTGTTTTGTTTTTGTTGGCAGGTGCGGGTTGGTAAGGTATTTGGTGTTCAGTTTCTTTTGTTTTTGTTGGTAGGTGTGGGTTGGGAAGGTATTTGGTGTTCAGTTTCTTGTGTGTTGTTTTTGTTGGTAGGTGTGGGTTGGTGAGGTTTTTGGTTCAGGTGTTTTTTTTGTCTGTTGTTGGTAGGTGTTTGCTTTGTTTGTTTCTTCTTTTTTCCGGTTGTTTTGTTTTGTTGTTGTTGGTAGGTGTGGGTTGGTAAGGTTGTTTGATTAAGTTGTTTGTCTGTTTTGTTTGTGTTGGTAAATATATTTGTTGGGGGGTGTGTTTTTTCTCGGTTGTTTGGTGTTGTTTGTTGGTAAGCTTGTGTTTGTTTGTTTGTTTTGTTGTTGATGTGTGTTTCTGTCGACTTATGAAGACAAACAAATCAACGTTAGCAGGTTATAACCAGGTGATGGCCACTTACTAACTTGGCGAATCGAACATCCAACGTGGCCAAGGATCGTACTCCTCTTCGCCGGAGCGGGTGCCGCGCTTGCCGGCGAGGGTGCTGCGGGTGATGGACGGGTCGCGAGCCAAGGGGGGAGAGAGGTCTGGTGTCGATCGGCTTGAAGGAGGTGAATCCCCTGTCAAGGACCCCTGAAAAAGGGAACTCACCCCCAGAAGTGTGGGGCTATGATCCATGTTTCACTGGGAAAAAATACATTTACCCCAACTTTGGGCTGCCATAACCCAGTTTTGAGTGGGAAAAAACACATTTGCCCCATAGTTGTGGGATGCTACAACCCAGTACGAGTGGGAAACAGCAAATTTATGCCAACCTTTTTTGGGCTGGATTTTTTTGAGAGTTCAGGTGTGTGGGGACCCACCCAAAATGGCAGTGTTCCTTTTGGTTTCCCTGTAAACACCAACCAACAAGCTACCCTCAAACAAAAAACACACAGTGGGTCAGGAGGATACCTTAAATGTTGGTTGGTCTAAAGGGAAACTCCTTCATACCGCTATACTCTTAGGGTGGACTAAATATGAAACAGAATCAGACCCAGATGTGGGTCAAGTTTTGAGGATGCCCTTTTCAATGGTGGCTTGGTCGAAAGGAAAACGACACATGTTGAGGGTCGGAGCACCTCCTTACTTGAACCCATTATTTTTGTTTTAACACTCAGGGGGGCATACATACAATCAGGTAAATTTGAAGGCCCCCACTGATCCATCACCCAAAAGCATTTGCAGGCGTGGGTAAGGCTTGTACCTGGCTCGATGCAGGGTGTGGCTGTATAATTGTAAGGGCGTCTTTTTTCCTCCTGGATGTTGCATTCTTCGTGCGGGTGCCAGGGTGATTGGGGGCGCACCCCTACTCCAAATACTGTACCCACTTGTTTGGTATGTTCTGGCAAACCTGGTTTTCCAGAACACGTATCTCATTTTTTCGTCAAGGAGTTAACATCACACCCTGCGGAGTGTTTGCGGAAGCTGAGGCAGCTGAAGCTGAATGCCAACTCCTTGCTGGCAAGGCGTTTTCAGAAGGACCGATCACGGGCGGGTCTTCGATTCGACATCAACTGCCTTGCCCATAAAGATGGGGGGGTTCCATCGCAACCATTCTTCTGCGTTGCAACTCACCCCATGTGTAAGTGGGAATTTTGGAGGGTCTATGTTCAGTCGTTGTTGTTCCCTTGTGTTGCTCAGTTTTCAGGTGGTCACAGATTTAAGTTGACATTTGAGAAGGGAGAAAAGCTTGAAAACACGTGCCCGAGTCCAACGCTCGGGTCCGAACCCTGCTGCTTTTCGAGCAAAAAGCAACGGATTTCGGACAAAGGTTGGCACCGAAACATCAGAGTTCGGCACCTCCCAAAAAGGGCGGCTCGTTTTGCGTGTTTTTTTTGTTTTTTTTCGGATTCGGAAACCTCGACATGGCGCGGAGTTGGTTCTCGTTGGGTTTCGTGGCAGATCCTTAGAATGGATGTTGGTCTTCCTCTCGGTTTTCCTTCCTTTTTTTTAAGCACCCTCCCAAACAAGGGGATCTGGGTGTTCATCGCGGTTTTCGTTTCTTAAAAGCCCTCCCAAAAAAGGAGACCACCAACAAAAAAACTACCAAACAAAGGGCACCAACTCTAAAAAAGAAAGACGCCCATGTTCGGGGGGTTTCAACGAAACCTGGGCTGCGTTTAGCTCCAGGAGCCCAAAGCGGCGGAACCCGAAGGCGAAGCCATCGAGAGGCTCGCTCGAGCGCTCGCCGGGGCCACCGCGGTTTGGGGCCCGAGAAATTCGAGCCAAATCTACCGACGGGATCGCCCAGTTGCGATCAGTTGTTTTTGTTCAGTCACTGTAACGCGATGGGTGTTTTGGGGGTTTTGAGCGCATGGGGGAGAAAATAAAGGATCGCAACTGGCGACCCAGGTACCTGGATCGCCAGTTGCGATTGTTGTTGTTTTTCCCCCATGCACTCAAAACCCCAAGAACCGATAGCAACAGTGACTGAAAAAAGTCAGCGCAACTTGGCGATCCCGTCGGATTTCCGGGTCGCCCTTGGAAAAAGACCGTCCCCGGGCACCACAAAAAATGAGCAAAACCAAGCACGAATCCAAACCACCATCCAAGAGTCCCTATGTTGGACCTCCTGGATCGCCAAGTTGCGATCGTTTTTTTCAGTCACTGCTGCGATCGGATTTTGAGATTTTGAGTGCATGAAAAGAAAAAGCGATCGCAACTGGTGATCCAGGTGGCCCGAGAATTTTTGTTTGTGGCCCCGTGACTTCCAACTTTTGCGTGGGTGAAGTTGCAACGGGCACTGTTTGGGGCAACCCACGCCTCCAAAAAATGGGGCCCCCGTCAGTGAATTATGTGCAAAGGCATAGGCGACTTCCTGGTCCTCTACTTGGGCATCCGATTCTTATGCCCGAAGGGATCCTGAGAGTCATGACCCCTCCAGATCCCATCAGGAGCCCTCCAATAGAGAAGCCCAACCAATTCCTCAGCGGCCCAAAAGAAAATATATGTATGAGTAGCGAACTTTCTCCACTCTTTTTTAAGAGGCGTAGCCTTTTTCGCCTGTGACTAGTTAGCCCTAGCGTCAAGTTCCCTCCATTTCCCTTTGAAGCTCCAAAAGTGGCAAGGGAAGCCACCAGTAAACCAAACAGCCTTAGGGAAAATCCGGTGACCCCTGTCAGCCTTCAGCCTGTGGAAGTTTGAGCTCACCAGAGCTCTCAGAAAAATTGTCCGTTGACTTGGCATTGAAGGGGCTTGGCTTGAGGGTCCAGATGCTCACTCGTGCTTACGGACAGTCAGCAAAGGGCTTCCTGTAGGGGGTAAGCCAATTCCCTACCGTAATTATGACAGGGTCTAATGTTCATCCCCTTGGAAAACCAAGTTTTCCACAACAAACACCCTGAAAAAAAAAGAGGACAAAAGAAGAAAAAACAATGAAAACAAAAAGCAGCAGTTATGTGGAGCTTACGGAGGGGACTCCCCAAAGTCCATCGCGCGCGCGATCCGTGGGGCGTTTCTCTCAGGAGCGCGGCCGGGCAAAGCCAGCCGAGCGCGCAGAGCGAGCCTGTGGAGACGGACGTGAGCCAATAGGTCTCGAGGGGAATGCCCCCAGATGAATCAACCAACCAGTTGATTCATGGTTAACTAGGTCCCCCAGTCGTGCCCGAGAAATAGACTACAGAACAAAAGGTACCCAAATTCTAACCTCTCTACTGGAGGACCTAGTTAATAAACAGGGGTTGATTATTCCAAGATCAGGGGTTGATTCAACCCCAGTTTGTTGATATGGGGGTGGTTTTGGCCCCTGCAACAGTGGTCTGAATCCAACCACTAAACCCAGAAATGGACACCCCCCCTATTAATAGACAGGGGTTGATTAATCCGGGGTCAACATTGCAGGGGTTCTCCAAGCCCTTTTCAAAGATTCCAAAGAATGGTGGTAGCCCCAAATGATGGGGTGAATTCCAATTTGTGTGGGTAGTTTGAGGGTCCGGGTAGTACAGGCAGTCAATTGCGATGCCCTTTTACCAGCTTTTTTTGAAAAAGGGTTTGCCTACTAAAATAGACTACAGAAAAAAGTTGGCACCCTTAGTCTAACCTCTCTACTGCATGACCTAGCTTACTAAACCGCATTGGACCCAATGCGCAAAAAATATGGGCCATGCATTTTCTCGAGGCCCTTGACAATTTGTCCGGGTCCGAAAAAACTGGAATCGGACCCTTGGTGGTTTCTGGACACTCTGTAAAACTTGCTGGTTCTTTCCGGGGCATCGGTTGAGGGTTTGGGGAATGAACCTGTTGACAGGCGCATATCTACACCTCTGGAGGAAACCACAACCCAAAAAGAAGGCTGGCGAATTCCAACTTATTTATGGCTAGAGGGTGCATGTATCCCTTAATTGATGGTTCGGAGCCTGGTTCTTTCAAGTGGTAAATATTGAAAGCGAACCACCCAGGGGATCCCTGACAGGAGGCCCTCGCTTGGATGAGCCAAGGAAATTAGGGGCGCGGAGTCTGATTCCTGCCATATTCTAGGTCTAGTAGTGCCCTTTACCCTTTTTGGGGGGAGGGTTCCGAACCCTGCTAAAATAGACTACAGAAAAAAATAGGGTACCCTTATTCTAACCTCTCAAATTTTGGAGGACCTAGTATTGCAAACCGATCTCTACATGGGTTCTGAAGGGTTTTCCGTGTGGTTGGCTGACTTCCCACTTAGGTTGGCCCATTTTGTAGAAACCCACTCCAAAAAACCAATGGGATGCGTTTGGTTCGACCCCGAAAAGGAGGCTCCTTGTTGCTTGTAGGTTGCACCTAGATCGCCAAGTTGCGATCCTTTTTTTGTCTCAGTCACTGCTGCGATCGGTTCTTGGGGGTAAAATGCATGGAGAAAAAGGAAAAGGCGACAGCGATCGCACCGGGCGATCGACACCTGGATCGCTCCAGGCAATGCAGGCATGAATCGGCCTCCGTTTTTCTCCCCGGGATCCCGATCCTTGGAGTTTAAGTCTCGATGGGCGGGGGTCTTTGAAAGTCCCTGAGCCGTCGGCCGAATGGTTCACCGCCCTAGGACCAACTGAAAAATTGGGCTTCACCCCAGGATTTCGGGGGCTAGAGCCTTTTTTTGGGGGGGGAAATTTCAAGGGCTCAGGTAGTTGTACACTGGGCAACGCATGATGGGATCTGTTTCAAGGGGTCAAGTCAAGTCGGGTTGTCTTATCTGGACCCTCATACCAACAAAGAATGGAAGGATGGATAATTGCCCCCAAACATATGGAATGAGTGAGTTCCCACCTCTTTTAATGGGTAGTTTCCGGGTGCAGGTATCTCCCTTCAAGCTACCACTTGGAAGCTGACTGGTGCCGATTACACGAGCGAACCATTCGGCCCAGTTCCGCAGACAGCCGAACAATCCGCCGCTGCTTTCCCTTTCGCCGGATCCCGTTCCTGCAACGCTCCCTGGCGGGAAAGAAAAAAACAGAGCCGACGGCGGCGCCACTGGCCTCCAGCGCCGGATGGGGTCCTTTTAGGTTAGTTTGGATAGAAATCGATGGGGGTCCATCTGGTTTAGATGGGTTTCATGGCGATTTTCCATGGACACCCATCTGTTCTACCAAAAGGACACCTAGCTGGGTGAATCATAGCGACCTCACACGACCTCACCCCAAATCGTGATTAGATTCGGGAATTTCCCCACAACCACCTTATTTCAGCTTGAGGTGAAATATTATAATTCACCCAGACCTATGCCTACCGCGCTTTTGAGAGCGTTGTCGAGTTGTTTAGCCAGTGCACTCGCTTTCCAGCAGCCAGGCCTTGCGCCGGAAGTTGGACGGCATGGTGCAGGAGATGCACCAACACCTGGGCGCGCCTCGGAATTCGGTTGAGAGATGGGCGCGTCTTTCTTCTTCACTGCTATTGGGTTGGATCTTTAGACTTAAACTTTTGGGGGAAATCAAGTTGGGTTTTCCACCAAAGCCACAAGAAGCTAAACTTTTTGCAGAGGGGATAACAGCAACCAAGTCTTGCCGAAGACTACCTGAAAAAATATGTTTTGCTGGGTGTTCAAAGGAAACTGAAAGGAAAACCGACGCCATGTTTAGGGCATCCCTACTTTGGGACACATGTAGAGGGTGAATGGAAGACCACCCCTTAACCACCCCACCGGGCTCCAAACCGTACCAAGTAGAGGCTGATGTTTCTTGGGTACCCTGTTGACCCTTAGAGGCTGGGCCCAAGTCGATTCCGTTTTTTGTTGCTATGTCCAGCTTTGTTTCTTGCTTTGTAACCTTGGGAAGTCAAATGGAGGCAGGTTCTTTCGCTTTCTCTGGCAAGTTCCAAGGTAGGCCCACTAGACCAATAGACCTGTTTGCGAATCCCAAACAATTCGGTGCTTCTGTTGCCATGGTCTGGGTAGGGGTTCCAAGCCAGTGCCCTTTTTGGAGCCTCACGTGGCAGTTTCGATGGAAACCACCGATCGATCGATCCATCCATCCATCAATCAATCAACCAATCAACCAATCAGTCGGTCGGTCGGTCGGTCGGTCAGTCAGGCAGTCAGTCAGGCAGTCAGTCAGTCAGTCAGTCAGTCAGTCAGTCAGTCAGTCAGTCAGTCAGTCAGTCAGTCAGTCAGTCAGTCAGTCAGCAAAGAGAAGCTTGTGCCTGGACCCTCACAATTCCAACTCAACAAAGGGGTGAGTTGCAACCCACAAATTATGGAATGTGTGAATTCACATGTTTATGGGTAGCTTGAGGGTCTAGCTGTGGGCTGCGACAATGACGTCCTCTGTCGGATCGGCGTGCTGGATGTGCAAAAAGTGAGGGCGTTTGCTTGTTCATTTGCGCGCGTGATTTTTGCGCGGGGATCGGCGTGGCCGATGTGGAAAACCTGCAGGATTGGCGTGTTCGAACAAGCTTGTGCGGCACTTGCATTGAGAACGGCTGCTGCAAACCTGGTTTTCCACAATGATTTCTCCTTTTCCAGTACAGAAGTGGCATCATACGCTTCAAGCAAGGTGGGTACCTGGAGGTTTGCAGGAGTTCTTGTTTCCTTCCCCCAAAAAACGCGGATCTCCGTTTCCCCCAGAAAAGGTTAGCTCCATGTCCATAAGGCTGTGTGTGGCCCAGAAAAATGTGCCAAACCGGCTCCTTGGTAAACGGAACCAAAGACTCAAACCTGCGGTTGGCCCTAGCTCTAAAAATTTCTTGAGCCCCCACAAATTTGCCTTGCGCCCAGGAAAACACCGGGGAAGGCCAAACGGGCTGCAGGCAGCGAGACCGATTTGTAGGAAGTTTCCCCACGTCCTCCGCCCGCGGGCCTCGCGGCGGTGAGGTCTCGAGCCCCTCGAGCCGGGTGCCGCGGGCCTCCTTCGCCTCCACGGGCAGCGAGGAGTTGGTGACCATCTCCCGCAGGACTTGGGGCTGGGGGGGGGGGAGAGGCGGGGGGAAAGGCGGAGGGAAAGGCGGGGGTGGGAGGGGGTGGGAGGGGGTGGGAGGGGGTGGGAGGGTTCCGGGGCACCCGGGCTGGATCTTTTATCTTCCATCGACTGAGATGGTTCTTCTTGTTTAAAGAGACAAAATGTGATCCGGGTGGGGACCTACAATTGGTGGTTCTAGCTGGAATCGATGCAGAACTCAGACCTCCTTGACTTCCACTTGGAGGCCCCCGGCTCCTTGGCCCCTTTCAGAGGTGGGAACTCTGGCGCAAAGCGTCAGGCCCACACTGGGTTGGTGGATGCTTTTTGAGGGTCTGCCAATATGGGGTTTGTGTGAGTTTTCTTTTTTTTAGACATATTTTTGAAATATAAATAAGCCTTTTAATGAATTGTCCCTTAAATTGAAGATTTTGGGAAACTGGGGTTCAAAGGGAAACCACCACCACCATCCCCCCCCCCATTTGACACACACACACACACACGCATCCATGTGTTCCCGGGACCATGGGCGGGAAGCGGAACCAAGAACCCGGAACACACCCTGTCCCAATAAACGATCTAAGGATCATTGTGATGTGTGTGCGTTCTGTGTTTCTTTTCTTTTGAAAGGGGGGGTACCCTATTTGGGGGTTGTGTTTAAGGGTTAGCGCCGCTAGCGCTAGTGAAGATGGTGCACCAAGCCCTTTATGCCTTTTGGAGACATTCGGCTGTTCAATTTATAATTAAAAAAAAGGGGGGAAACAAAAACAGAGAAGACAATGAAGATTACATACTACCCAGTGCTTCCAGCTGGGAGCCAAGTAAGGAGACCTAGGGTAGGAGATTCACAACCAGCATGTAGCCACGGTGTTTTTCGCCCAGCGCTTTGTAGGTAGCCGTGAGAAACCGGTATGCGCCTTGAGGGAAAAAACAACTGGACACCTGCTATAGTGGGAACCATCCGGTAACCGGGCTCCTTAGAAGATACATGTTGCCCGTTCGAAACATGGCTTTTTCCACCAACATCAAGGGAAACCACCAGTTACAAGGCAATGTTCAGGTGTATGTAAGGATCCCTGTGGTAGTTTCCATTTAACCCACTAAAGGTTAAACTGTTGGCGGGGGATCTGAGGGCAGCCCAGTTTGCTGGGAACCCTGGATTGATAGACGGGTTGATTTGTTTGGAGCGAGAAGTCAATCAAAGCACCCCCAAGCAAGACGGTTCCCTTCCAAATCAACCCTAGCAAGTCCTTTTCCCTTTGGGGGTCCCCCGGAAAGAAAATTCACGGAAAATAACTGGAGCTGGTCTTTTCTCTCAAAATCCAAGGAAAGCATCTCCAATGCTTTCCCTCCCCAACACACACCGGTCCTCCCCGTTGGGAACTCCCCCTTTCCCAATGCACTCGAACCGCTCGAGCCGCACAAACCCGTTTGCAGAGTTCGGACAAGTGCCCGCTTCACAAAAGGGTTCCGAACTTCAATACGAGCTGCCTGGATCGCCAGTTGCTGTTTTTCTTCCATGCACTTTACCCCACAAAACCGATCGCCACAGTGACTGAGAAAAGCGATCGCAACTTGGCGATCTAGGTGTCCCCAACTGGCCACCCTCCATGTTGTTGGCAAACATCTTACATGTTTTCTTATTGTAGCTTAGTGGTTGAAATCGAACCACTTAACTGCCAAAATTCAATTAGTTTTTTGCTCCCCTTCCGTTACGTCAACAAAGCCTCCAGAAAACCCTCCCTTAAAAAGATCTCGAGAAGAAAAAAACTGACGGATTCCCGGCCGCGAGGACCGCGAAGACGGTGTCCCAGAAGATCTTTGCCAAGAAGAGCTTGGCCCCGGGCTCGGACGTTGGACCTTTGGGCGCAACAGGGTGAGGTCCTCTTGGCTTTCCCACCCGAAAAAGAAGGATAGATGATCCCCCTCAAACATCCCCCTACACCAAATGACCTATTCTTTTGGGGGCCATTTTAAAGTTTCAAGGTGTTTTGTAAGAAAACTGAAGGTTTCAGGGTACATACCGATCCTGTTTTTTTGTTGTAAAGGGTTGACAAGTCATACTGAACAAAGGCGGGTATCGTGTGGTTGCGGGGGATGTTCTATGAGCATCGGCTTTAGGGATCCTGAGTCTGCCCCTTGCAGTACCCCCCCCCCTCATCTTTTCGCGTGGGGCTCAGGGAAACCAGCAGTCCCTAGGTTGGGCTTTCTCGGTTTCCCAACTTTGCGAGAAGCCCTTTGAGCTATTTGGGGGGCGATATTCTTTGGGGGACGATATTCTTTGGGGGGTTCCCCCTTGAAGCAATTGCCTTCTCGTTGAGCTCATACTCTTTTTCCACCAAAAAAACAGAAAGCTGATTCTACCCGCCGATATGTTTTGAACAGCACCTCAGGGGGGCTGTTTTGCAGGGGGTTGGCCATTCCGAGCCCCCGAGTCGCCCCGTTCGAAGCGGTTCCGAAGGCCTCCTTCCATGAGGTGCCCGGCAGCCCAGACGCGCCGCGTCCGCTCGATGTCCGAAATCGGAGGCTCCCCGCAACACGGGGGAAATCGAAGCCTCCGGGGGTCGGGTGGTTCAGGTGCTATGCCTGGAGTCTCCTTCTGACCCTTTCAACATGGTTAGTCAGACTCCCTAGAATTTGGGGGTCATGGCCCCGTTTTCTAGGGGTCGGAAGGAGACTCCAGGTACCATTCACACAAAGCCTGGGTTCAGATTTCACCAATTCGGTTACCCATTGAATTCGATCATCCAAATTCAGCTGGCCCCTGAATTGCCATTTCATTTTTTTCTGGGTGCTTTGGCCCTGGACCCACATGTCTGGGGTGCAAAATTCAATGTTTCAGGCTCTTGCCCGCGGTTTCTTTGGTCGATGTTCGTCCCATGTCGAACCACCCCAGAGAAAAGAACGACGAATTCGGCTGGCGATGTTTGTTGAGGTTTTGGGAGCTGTGTTTGTGTTTTGGTCAGCTTAAAGGCGCATGTTTTAGATGAGTGGTGAGTAACTCTGGTTCGCTCCCTTTGGGGGAAGACCATTCAGCCACTTTTGGGGTCTGGACCTTGGTAAGCCAAAACACTTGGCTAATCAAATCGGAGACAAGGAAGCAGCTCCTTGTCGTGTAGACGGTCCCTTTGAATGTTCCATTCGCCAAGGTAACGTGTTAGCAAGGGTGAGAAAACCAGGGGTAGCTCCACGTAAGGAGGCTCAAACAAAATGGTTATAACCTTGGTGACCGTTACATTCTTGGCCGAACTCGCAAGTACGGGCCCTCCCAAGTCACTATGTTGGAATCGAAGATCCAAGGAACAGCCCCATGTGACAAGGAGCTGCTTCCTCTTGCCTGTGAAGTCCTTGACCTTCCAGCGTTGGAGGGGTGTCCGGTTTCCCCAGGCCCCCAAGGTGGAAAGATTTTGGCACAGTGGTTGGCCTCTTTGCTCTGGAAATTTCACCGAAGTTCCAAAACCCCATCGAAAAGGGGAGGTTCTTCTACAACTGGGTGTGAGGCGACCTTCCTGGACCAGAAAGAGCTACCGATTTCACCAACACCATGTGGGGTTGCTGCATCCCATGCTTAAGTTGGACTTGTTCGGGTTCAGCTTTCCTTTTGTTCAGGTTTTTAGTTGTGTTGTTGCTTCTTTTTTTTGGGGGGGGGAGCTGAAGAAAGGTGGCCCCTTTGCCCTGAACTCGGAGCGCGTGGTGACACCTCGGAATCTCTGAGGACCAGGTCTTGGCAGAAGCTCTGCGTGTACATGAACCACGTCACAGACCCTTGGCTCGAATCGGTTGGTTGCTTGCTTGGTTGGTTAATTGCTTGCTTGGGTGGATGATTGGTTGGTTGCTTGGTTGCTTGGTTGCTTGGTTGGTTGATTGCTTGGTTGCTTGGTTCCTTGGTTCCTTGGGTGGTTGCTTGCTTGGTTTGCTTGGTTTCTTGGTTGCTTGGTTGGTTGATTGCTTGCTTGGGTGGTTGCTTGCTTGGTTCCTTGGTTGCTTGGTTCCTTGGTTGCTTGGTTGCTTGGTTTCTTGGTTGCTTGGTTGGTTTGCTGGGTTGCTTGGTTGCTTGGTTGGTATGAATCCAGGCTTAATGAGGTACATATTTATGCTCACTCACTTCGTTCCAGGACTCGGAGTTTAGTGATGTTACATTTGGGGTGCGGTTGCCATTTTAGTGGCAAACACCAAGATTGCCTACTGTTTTGGGCTCATCCACTTGTACGTTCTTTGTGCGTTCTTCTTTTTGGCAGCCGTTTTTAGTCATGAGTCCCCAAAATGGGATATGTTCTGTGTAGCCCACAGACAGGCAGAGACAAGCAGATAGACAGATAGACAGACAGAGATAGATAGACAGACAGAGACAGAGTCACAGATGCACGATCTGAGGAGAGCTTTCGTTGTGTCCCCTTCCCCCCCTCCCAAAAAAAAAAGAATAAAAGAAGTAAAACTCACAGCAACAGCAACAGCAACAGCAACAGCAACAGCAACAGCAACAGCAACAGCAACAACAACAACAACAACAACAACAACAACAACAACAACAACAACAACAACAACAACAACAACAACAACAACAACAACAACAACAACAACAACAACAACAACAACAACAACAACAACAACAACAACAGCAACAACAGCAGCAGCAGCAGCAGCAACAACAACAACAACAACAACAACAACAACAACAACAACAACAGAAGAAAAAAAGAAAGAAACAAAAATCATCCCCCCCCCCCCAAAAAAAAAAACTAATAATAATAATAATAAATAAATAAAATAAAATACACACGCACACACACACACCAACAACGACAAAAAACACAACTCCTCCACGGGGAAAGATCTCAGGAGAGCTTTCAGTTCCAGCTGGTCTTCGCCTTCCTCATCTGCGCCGTGAGTTGGGTCATGGCCTTCGAGGCCCAGCAAAAAAGGAAAAAGTCCACTCGGCCGAAGGGGGGAGGGCCATGCGTGTGTGTGGCTCAAAATTGGACTTCGACTCCCAAAAAAGATCACGGCGGTGTTTTTCGTGATGACTTCCCTTAAAGCCAACCCACAACGAGCACCTGGACCCTCAAACTGCTCTTAACATTGAGTTACTTAGTGCTCTGAAAGTTAATGGGACCCCCCCCAAAAGCAAAAGCTACGGGTTTCCTTATCCTGTCCCTTTAAACCAACCCACAACGAGTATCCTCAACAAAAGACAAACCCGTTGGCAGAAATAGTGGTAAAATGAAGCCCCCCAAGCTGGTTCTTAAGGCAGCGTCACGCAGACCCCAAGTTGGGCTTATCAGTTCAGTCAGCCAAAACGTGCACTTCATACCGTTACCCAAGGCTTGCTCCCTGGTTCCTGACTTTGGGGATTCCCTTTACACTCAGCGACGCCAAAAACCGCGGTGCCCTGTTGCTTCTTGTTTTCCCATGGGGAGTCTGGAGTTCCAGTTGGTGAGCAGAAAGTGCTGACGTGGTGTGGCCCTACTTTAAATACCAGTGCTTGAGTGTATTATTTTTGAAATATTGTTTTCCAGGGTAAGTACCTCCCTTCTCAGTCAAGAGCTCGCATCAGACCGTATCATACCCTGAAAACAGTGGGCCTTGGGTGTAGGGGGTAAGCCAGCTGACGCAGGAACCAACACACCCAAGGACTTCGACTGGTGTGCATTTCTCAGTCAGGTCAACCTCAGTGGTTTGAATTGGGGGTTTGGACTTGGACTTGAACCCCTGGTTCTTGTTGGGGATGCATAGCTGCAAAAGATGGGCCACTAAATCTGCACAAGGTCGATCACGAGGAGGAAGCAACACAGAATTGGAGATGTCATCAGACCTTAGCTTGCAGTTAGGGCTCCTTTTGGCTTAAAGAAAGCGGTCAGCATCAGCTCAGAACTGGGGTTGACTGCCATGCACTAGAGTTTGTCTTTTAAAACGGATTTCCTTTTGGTTTGCGAACAAAACGGCTACCTGGACCCTCAAACTACCCTTCAAAATGGGTTAGTGCAACCCAAACCAAACACATGGTTGGTGAAGTCCATTTTTTTATATTTTTTAAATTGGGAGAACATGATTTGTGAAGTCCTTTCTTTTCTGTTTTCTCTTTTTTGTATGGGGAGTTCCTTGGTCCAGGTTTTACCCCAACCCAGAGCCGTGCTCCATGCTCCATGGACCTCGGTGTCTCTCGCAGGTGCAGTACCGGGGCCTGGAGACGGGCTACAAGCTCGGGTATCCAGGCGACGGAAATCGACGAGCGAAATCGTCGAAATCGAAACGGCGCGAAGTCGTCGTCGAAAAGGTCCGCGGCTTGGAAAAGAGGTCGGGATTTGTTGGGTGTTTCCATTAATGTTAACCCCGGATCTAAGCAGAACCCCTGGTTGATTTTTATTTGGGGGGGTGTCCCCTTTTAGTGGGGATTCAGACCACTTTTGGAGGGAACACCCCTCCAATAATGGGACGGGTTTATTAATCCTGGGTCAACATTACGCTCCACCTGCTTTTAGTCGGTATTTGTTGGAAACCCTGATTTTCCGAGGCTAAATTATTGTTGTCAAGGGTTGACATCATGGCCTGGGACAAAAAAGAAACGACGTGTATTTGGAGTAGGGTTTTTTTGGTGTGATGTTCAAACCAGAGATGGTGGGTGGTGTTCTTCCTTTGACTGGTGAAAATCCGAAGCCGCAGTTCCACTTTCCTACTTATTTGAGAATAGTAAGCTGGTGAGCAGCTTGTGTGGCTACCATGGTTGAACATCCAAGGAATGAACCCGTCTCCGTTCTGTCAAGTTCCAAACTACCCAGAACAGTTGGTGGGTGGGTTGTTTAAGGGAAGCCAAAAAGACCACTGCAGCCATTTTGGGGGAGGTGTACCATTTGTTTGGTGGCTGTTAAAGGAATCCCAAGGGACACCAAAGGTGCCATATTTCCCCCCTAAAATCCCATTTGTTCCAAACCTGAGCAAAAAACAACCAGGCAGAGAAAAACCCTGGAATCCCAAATTTGTTGGGTCCGACTTCTCAAAAAAGAGACAACCCCCAAAAAAAAAACACGACGACCGGCCCCCCCCCCCCACCATCCCGGGGCCCCCACCCCCGGGGCATCCCGCGGTCCCGCGGTCGCTCGCTCGCTCGGTGGAGGCCACCTGCAGCCGGCGCAGGAGGTGTGGCCACTGGCGGAGCCCGCCTTCGAGGTCATGGACGCGCCTTCGACTCGACACGACTCGATCTGTCTGTTGATTTGGCGTCCAAAAAGTCCGCGTCCCAAAAAAAAAGCGAGTGGTGTCAGGTAATTAAGGTGTTGCTTGTTATTATGTTGTTTTATGATTTGTTTTTGTATTTGTCTGATGTGTTTGTTTCTCCGATGTTTGTTGATTTGCTTATTGATTGTTTCGTTTTTTGTTCTCCCTTTTGTTCTGATGTTTTTGGTTCTCCGATGTTCAGGTCCCCCCAAAAAAGCGGGTGGTTGTCTCGGTTGTGTTTTTGCTTTTGCTTTTGCGAGTTTTGTTTGGGGATTGGTCCGGTGGAATGTGTTTTTTCACGAGTTGTTTCGGGTCCCAAAAGAGAAAAAGGGGGCCAAAAAAGGGGTGGCCTTGGGATTGGTCCGGTAGATAGGCTTTTTCCCCCACCCGGTCGCAAGAAAAAAGCGGGTGAGGCCATCTCATTTGGATCAACACCCATGCGGTTGGAAAAAACCGAGTTGATCGAAACCGACCTTTCCAACTGTTCTCTGTTCCGGTACCTGGACCCTCAAAATAGGAACTTACCAAGGGCACTTCTTTCGGGTTCAGGTAGAACTTTCAGGTCCTAACCTTTTGGGACCTTATATAAGTGGTTGCCCAAAAAGGAAAAAGGGTCCAGGAGCCATATACATATATATATATATGTGTATATTGATATATCTATATATATATATATATACTATTATATATATATATATATATGTGTGTATGTATGTACAGGTCCCTCACCGGTAAGTTGGAAACCCGACTCGCGCACTCGAATCCGAGGTCTTCTTTGGCGCGGCCTTCACGGTGGAGGTGTTGATGAAGTTTTCGGCCAATGGACTGCTCTTCATCAAGGACTTGAAAACCAGTCGAGGTGGAACCAGACATGACATCTACGTCCCCCAGCTAGGTGCCCTTTCTCACCCCTTTTTTGGTTGGGAGAGTTCCCCTACTAAAATAGACTACAGAAAAATATCGGGTACCCTTATTCTAACCTCTCTACTGGAGGACCCCGGATGAATCCACCAACCCCGGCGATAGGTGCAGAAAGTGGGAATCAACCCAGGCAATGGTCGCCTTAAACGAATGGAGCTCCCCTAAGACTAATAAACTGGGGTTGATTCATCTGGGGGATTAAAATTGTGAACCCAAAGGCTTTCAATGGTATCATCCCGGCCATATAATTGCGTGGAGTTCGCTGCCAATGGGATTCTTCAGGCAGGAGCTGTGCTGCCGAACCTAACAGTGAGGATTCCCCGGATGAGTCAACCCCCAGCTTCTTGAAATCCCAGAAATCGAAGCTCAGGTTCGAGATGTTTGGGTTACAAACGTTGAAAAATGAAGGGTTTGAGACATAGGTGTTGACTTGTTGGTTGCTTTGCTCGAAAAATAGAGGGCGATCCCTGGTTTACCTGGTGGTTTAATCTACCAGGGATATCCATCTATTTCCCCAAAAAGGACACCTATGGTTGCAGAGCACGCCAGAGAGTCATCAATCTTCTTTCTCAATCTGCCGATGTTTTCCTCCATAATTGCGTTGCCGATGTGACAGAGGGTGTTTCACCCAAGAACGGGCATTTAGAGTTATCTTTATCAAAGACGTCATTGACCGAGTGATTTTACAAACTCGTGATATTTTTGGACAAATGATGTTTCACCCGAAATGGTGCAGGGTGGTGATTCCACTATCAACTACTTTTGAGGTGGTTCCCTATCTGTTTTTAAAGCATAGCCATCGATGAACCTTCATTTACCCTACTTTAGACTCTGTTTGGTACTTGATTAGGTTGCTTGAACCTCCTGCTGCCCACTGCTCATCAAGGACCAATCGGCCGAGTCTCGATGAGGCGCCCTTAGCCCTTACCAGCTGGTCCCACCCCAAGCATCGAACCGAACCTTCCGTTGGGGTCGAACCGGACCTCCGGTTGGAAGGTTTTTGAACCTCATTTCAAGGGCCTCTTTGAGAGCCCGTGAAGAAGGATGCTTAGGGCAGTATAGCTGGGTTGAGCTGTTTTAGGCCAATCCACTTATTCGGACGTACCTGAACCCTCAAAAAACCAACAACTAAACGTTTGTGTTCCCCTCAAATCTACGGTTGGTGATTCCCCTTTGGATCCAGAGCAAACGTTCCAATCGCAGTGAGCAAGCCCACGAGACATATCTCGTTCCAGTCGCCTGAGCAAACCACCATTTGATTACCCGGGTTTGAGCCTACAAAAGTTCTATGGTTCCAGTCAGAAGTGATCGGACCAAAATCCCGTTCCCCACACACCACATTTGAACCCCATTTGAACCCACCAAATCTTCCTGGTTCTCAGCAAACCCTGCCCTTTCCCCCCCAAGCAGTCCCCCGGCAATCTCTTCGGCCTTCGGATCGGGGCGAGCCATGCCGGTGGTGCTGCGCGTGCAGAGCCCGGACGGGTCCAAGGCAGCCGTCACCGTGGAGGCCATCGAGAAAATCGCGAGAAAGTCGCGCCTCGTGCGTGTGTTGGTTTGTTGCGGCCGCTTGACGCCACTTGAGCCGCAACCAAAACCGATTCGGGGATTGATGATCCAAGTCGGACAATCCCCTTGCCAATAGCTGCGGAGATCCGGCTTCGGATAAATTATTGAAGCATGGTTCTGGGGTTACGACCATTTTCATACCGGGTTTTGAGCAATTGACTCACTTGGGGGCTTCCCACCCTAAGGGTCACCTTCAGGACCCTATGCAGATCCCCGGACGCAATGGAGAACCCAGACCAATTCCTCAAGGGCCCTGAAAAACATCCCATTGTGGGGGCCCAAAATCAATCGCAAGCCTTAGCGAACTGAAATAAACGGAGAAACTTTGAGAAAGTACAAACTGAAGCAAACTGGAAGAAAAACAAAGAACAATGACCAGGTGGTCCGTCAAATCCAAACTCCCCAAAGGGCCTGATTGTTTTTGGGGTTCTTAACAAGAGCTGTTTTCTTTCGGGCCCCTGAGGGGTCGGGGTTCTCCACTGGAGGGTGCGGTTGTGCGGTAAGTTCCGGGGTCATGGCCTCTTAGGGCTGAAACAATACCAACCTCTGCAGCCAAAGCGAATCGACCTGACATCACATTTTGGTTTTCCTGATTTGGAGCCGTTTTTTTTCAGTCACTGGTGCTGGCTTTTGGGGTAGAGTGGATGGAAGAAAATGCGACAGCGCACCTTTCTTTCGCCTTTTGGGCTCCAAAAGGCCATCACCTTTTCTGTAATTCACTTGTCCGGCTTGTTGGGCAAGTGACTGAGCAGGCCCCAGGACTTGGATCCTGGAGGTTGGGATGTCTCAAGTGGTCCTTGAGAATCGGTTGGGGGTGAATGTGTGGTTGGGGGAATTCTGGCAACAAACACTGCGGTTGCTGGGTGAAATAGCTCGTTTGCTCATTTTGTTGCGCCTCAAAAAGGCACACGACCCATAAAACCTCAGAAGTGCTTGGTGACTGGCGCCATCCCCATGGAATTTGAAACTCTAAAACCTGAAGCCTCAAGCCCGCAAGGAGTTCCTGCGAGTCCGTTTTCAGGGGTATGTGTAAGAAGAAACAAGACGAAGAACCCCCCCCCCCAAGCCGGGCATATGAAAGTACCTGGACCCTCAAACTGCCCACAAGAATGGAATTCGCCGTATCTTGGTGCAAGAAGCCATTTGTAGGGTTTTGAGGGTTCAGGTAGCCCAAGTGAAAACCGCTGGCTGGCCCTGGTGTGAGCCATGCGCCAAGCAAGTTGTATGGAAAGCCAGGCTATTAGGTGCCCTGTAAAAGAAGAAAATAACACATCGCATTTCTGGTTCCCAGCCACCCGGTTCCTTCGATCTTCAGGTGAAAGGTGGGTTGGGTTTCCATTTGACCCCCAAGGCTTCGATTTTCAGCAGGGGATCTCAGGATCATTGTCGCGGAAGTTCGGGATACTCCAATCTGCTCCCCTTTTCTTAGGTTGCTGAGGTTTTTAGGTCCTTTGTTGGTGAAAGCCGGGAGGGGCGGGAGGGGGGGAGTCCAGTGACACACAAAGTTTCGGCTTTCAGATCTGAGAGCCCCGTTCGCTTGGGCGAATCGATAGGATGACGCCCTGGTGGCGGACGTGATCCTAGCGGCTGCCCAGGGCTCAAAGGAGGACTGCCTTTTACTGCACACACGGGACCTGCCAAAACCGAACGGGGACTCTCAGAAAGTAGCCGTTGCTGTGTGGTGGTCATTGTGTTTCCCTTCAAAGCCAAGAAATGCGAACAATGAAAGTGCCAACTCCCAATAAGCCAGGCAAAGGTGTCCTTTTCAGCTAAGTTGGTTAGCAATAAATGGGTTCCGCTGGTTTAGATGGACATGCCATCCCATTTTACCCGGTAAAACTGTCTCTCTTTCTCTCTATTTCCGCCTCTTTTTTCAATTCTCACCTAAGAAGACGGCATTTTCCAGGGGCACCCCCTGAGCTTTTGACCACTTCGCCCCTCACCGCTAAGACGGCCGGGACGCGAACGACCCGAAGGACGCGTTCGCAGGACGTGGGGCGCCTGGCGCTGGTGGCGGGCTTCCCGCCGAAGAAGGTGGAGCCGGGCGACACCTTGGCCGGCGCCCAGATCCGCAGCGCCTCGATCCGCATGGTTTTGCTTGAGGTCAAGAATAGGGCGACCCCAAAACGGAACCGACACGGAAAAGGAAACAAGGACTAAAGCCTGCAAGTTTTGATTGAGGAAGGTTCCGAAATCCCAGCGGAATGAAGGTCCAGGTCCCCCAACCCATTGCCCTGTTACCGTTTTTAGGTCCCCCAGCAATTGGTTACCCCTTTTTGGGTTTCCCCCCGCATGATTTTGATTGGGGGTGTCCCCTTCTGGTGCTTGATTACTTGTGGAGGGCTCCCTCCAACCCCCATTAGGACAACATGGGGATTGACAGATCACGAAACTGGGGTTTTGAGAGTTGCGTGGGGGTGATCGAGGTCAGAAATTGGGTTTTCGCGTTGTTTCCCTTTGGATGACTTGTGCGTTGAATTGATGATTCTGATCTTGAAGTCATATTGGCGGGGTTTCCACTTAAAGGGAGACTTTGGTCATGGCAAAAATGTGGGGCCAGTCAGAGCGACGGAACAAGTGGTCGATCGACCAGTCCCCATCTTCCACGGTCAAAAGCCCCGCCCCTCTCGCTGGCTGTGTCAACACGGCCCAAATTCTGGGCCTCGCTTTCCCTTTGCTCCCCAAAAAAACACAAAGAGGAAGAAGAAAAAGTAGCCTCAAAAAGCCGATCCCGACAAAAAAAAATAGTACAAAGCCAGTGGAACCCCAGCCTTTCACCCACACCACCATGCACTTTACCCCTGAAAAAAGCGATCGCAACTTGGGCTATCCAGGAAGTCTCTCCCCCCAAACCACAGGCAACGAGTCGGTGCGGCTCACCACGCTGGCCATCGACGACCCGGCGGTGAGCGGCGCCCGGCGCTGCCTGGCGCTGCGCGCCGCGCAGCGCTTCGCCGCGGCGCGGCAGGTGGAGCCCAAGGCGCGGCGTCGCTTCCCTCGCGGTGACCGGGGTGCTGCCCCCGTTTTTTTCCAACCTCTTTTTTTTGGGGGGGGGAACGGGGGCCTGTTGTGCTGGAAAAAGTCCACCAACCCAAAAAAGGGTGCCATGTGTTTCTATTTTCAAATGGCCGGCTCGTTTGGGTCCGGTGGCTATCTTTGTGTTTGGGACCTGGAGCCACAGAAGGGTGGTGGTCCTTTTGGTTTGCCGGGTCTTCCATGTGTGGCGCGAGAGATCACCGGCGAAGTCTCTGCACCTATCTGGAGGGTACGAAATCGGATGCTTCAGGGCAAGATTGATATGGATCAAAAGTGAAAGACGTATAGAGAGGGGTTGAGTCTTTGTTTCCACG